CTTCTGCCTGTTCCCTTGCAGCTCTCTTCATACCTCACTGCTTTAGCCTAATGCTTCTGCTGCACTGCCCTTCCTTGCTACCTGGCCTCTCCCAAACTCCTACTTGGTGGCCCTGCTCTAGGATTCCATGTTCCCTGAATTTATCCTCACCTTAGCTCTTGGCAGACGGTGGTGTTTCCTCCCCTCGGGAGTCCTGCAGCTCCCAGTTGTGTAACCCCATAAACCACTGAACACCAGAAACGTGAGAGTGACTAAGAGTACGTGGTCCAAATGGCTGGCCTTGACCTAAAGAGCCAACCAGGGCTGACCCACAGTGCTGTGCGTGGCCCACATCCGGTTCCCGGAGGTCCTTGTCAGCCACTGCCATCCGAGAGTTTACTGTGTTAAATTCTTTAGTGGAAACTGACTTCCTGTGGTTCTCCCTTGTTGACTCTATACCTAAGATGCTTACATTGTGGAGCTGGGGAGCTGAATGGGCAACCTGGGGGCAGCTTGAGGCCCTAGACCCATTTCTGCTGGCCTGGGGCTGCCCCTGCAGGGCAGCCTTGGCTGCCAGCATATGCTCGCGCTGCCTCTCCTCTCCATGCCTTCCGCTTTTGTGCTTCCTATGTTTCAAGAAAATTGTCCCTTTAAAAAAAGATGGTAGGGGTGGCAAAGTGGCTCAGTGGTAGAGAGCTTGCCTAGCATGCATTAAGCCCTGGGTTCGATTCTTCAGTACCACATACACAGAAAAACCAGAAGTGGCAATGTGGCTCAAGTGGTAGAGCACTAGCCTTGAGCAAAAGCAGCTCAGTGACAGTGACCAGGCTGAGGTAAGCCCCAGGACTGGCCAAACAACAACAACAAAAGCAAACAAGCAAACAAACAAAATCTCTAGTACTAGTACCAACAAAAAAATAAAATAAAAAAGATGGTATTCCCAATGGCAGATACAGCCAGCAAGGTATAGATCATCCACCCTGCTCATCATGGCTTTACCTGTGAGTGAGCCCTGAGATTTTGTGGACCTAGAGATTGTTTTAGTTTGTTGTTATGTCTCCAGGACACAGCTTACTCTCTTTTGGTGAGTGGTGGGTCTTTCCCTCTTTAAACAGCAGAGAAGCTGACAGTATCAAAGCCACTTTACACACATACACACACACACACACACACACACACACACACACACATTGTGCTGGTACTAAGACTTCCTTTACTTTTTTGCTCAAGGCTGGTGCTCTACTACTTGAACCACAGCTCTAATTTTGGCTTTATTTGCTGGTTCAATGGAAATAAAAGTCGCATGGACTTTCCTGCCTGGGCTGGCTTTGCACCACAATCCTCAGATCTCAGCCTCCTGAGTAGCTAGGATTATAGCATGAGCCACTGGTGCCCACCATGGGTGTTTGTTTGTTTGCTTGCTTGCTTGCTTGCTTGTTTTTTTTAATAAAAATACTGAGTTTGATTTGGTTTCGTGATCTGGTGCATATGAAATGAATTCTGATAGGAGCATGCCCAGAGAACATTTACCTTGTGAAAATGCAGTGAAGGAACCCAATCTGTTAACCTGGGAGCAGTTCCCTGTTTTCATTTGAGGTAAGAGCAGGCAGGGTAAGAGGCAGCATGCAAGTGAATGCCTAGTGAGTACTTTAACAGAACCCCCTAAAGACCACCTAGTCTTTGTTCTCATGAGACTCGCTTCTGGACCCCCATACTGAGAGTCATGCCCTTGCTTTTCTGCCATTCAGTGCAATGCAGCAGTGCAAGGATGAAGAGCCAGCTTGGAAGCCAGCCTGCTCAAGCAGGAGCCTTGGCAGGCCACGCCTAGTAGGAAGCCACTCAGGTTGCTCATCTGAACTGAGAAGGCTCAGTGAGTGAGGTCTGCCTCCTAAGGCTGCAGCCTGGACACAGAGCCTGTGGGGGGTAGGCACTGTGGAAGAGTTTTGTGCTACAGAGTTCAGGGCTGGGCTCCTGACTTGTGGTATCTGGATAAAGTTGGACTCATTTGTTCAGTTTAGAACTCTGATGAGCCCCTAGCAGAAAAACTGGGGTGTATAGCTGTCCTGTGAATTTTTACTAAAATGCAACTAAGTTTATGATTCATGCATAGCCTTTCAATACCAGGTTAGGAAAGAGCAATTTGAGTATCGTTGTCTTCTGGAGATCACATCCTCTGTCCTCCTTCCTGTCTGCCTGCAGTGGGAGGAAGAAGAAGAGGAGGAGGAGGTGGTGGTGGTGGTGGTGGTGGTGGTGGTGGTGGTGGTGGTGGTGGTGGTGGTGGTAGTGGTGGTGGTGGTGATAATAATGATGATCATGATCATGGGACAAGTAGCCACACCATGCTGCCCACATTAGGCAGACCCACAATTTATGACCAGTGTTAAGTAACTTTCCATTTCTTTGTTGATAGTACAGTTAGCTGACATTTATACCAGCTTTAAAATTATGACAAAATCAGCCAGATGCAGAATGAGCAAGCCTGTTCCCCAGCTCTGTGTGTGAGGGTGAGGTGTGAGTCACAGGGGGGGATGGGGGGAGAGTAGAAGGGAGAATAGGCCTACGAGCTGGGAAGCAAAATTTTGGTTAGTTTCCAGGCCTTCTGGCTGACTGCTACCCTTGGTAAAACACACACAGTTTGTTGGCATCTCCCTGCAGCCTTATGCAGGACAAGGTGTCCCCAGGTTGGGCTGTGGAAGATAGAGTGGAGAAATACTAGAACTGAAAACCTCATCAGAAAGATTAGCTTGTCTCAAAAGAGGATATTCTTAGGAGAGGAACACAAAGACACAATACCTATAGGTATATGATCATATAAAATAATATCCAAATAAACTCCAGGAAATGGAAATAGGAGGGTTTTTTTTTTCTTGCTTGCTGTTTTTGTTTTCTTTTGCTTTTGTCTTATTTGTTCGTTGATCTGTCTTTGGGAGAATAAGGAGGGGCACAGAAATGGAGAAACAAAGGGTGAACTAATGCAGCCATGGAACTGACTAGATACTATGTTGAAAATTAAGTATGCAACTTGTAGAAAGAGATGGGAGAAAAAAAATGGGGAGAGAGGGAGGGAAGGGGTGACATTGTTCCAAAAGAAACATACTGTTGGCCAGGCGCCACTTACTCATGCCTATAATTCTAGCTACTCAGAAGGCTAAGATCTGAGGATCATGGTCAAAGCCAGCCCAGGAAGAAAAGCCCATGAGACTATTATATCCAATTAGCCACCAGAAAACTGGAAGTGTGCTCAATGTAATAGAGCACTAGCCTTGAGCAGAAAAGCTCGGGGACAGTGCCTAGGCTCTGAGTTCAAGCCCCAGGATTGACCAAGAAAAGAAAAGAAATAACACTCTTTATCTGACTTATATAACTACAAGCTCTCTGTATATCAATTTTATAATCACAATTTTTTAAATGCATGAAAAAAAAAATATTGACTAGTCTCATTCTTCCATGCAGCACCCAACCAATGCTGATTTTGATCTCTTGTTATCCTTTATGCATCCTTTAGAGGAGACAGGTGGTTTTCCAATTAACCAAAAAAAAATACATATTTTTAACCAAAAAGAAATTCCTAAACCTGCAGTAAGACATTTCTATAAATATTGTTCGTCTTTACCTGCTGGTTTTCTAAATGGAAGAGAAAGGATTTTTTTTAAGTGCGTTTGGAAAATTGTTTCTGTAAATGAGACTATTTCTTAGTAAAGCAGCAAAGCGACCGTCAGAGCCCAGAGTTTAGAATGTGGTGATCTGGATGCTCCCTTTGGTTTTTCCTCACTGTGGGGTGAATTGGGTTATGCATAAAGAATGTTCCAAAGCCGGGCGCTGGTGGCTTACGCCTGTAATCCTAGCTACTCAGGAGGCTGAGATCTGAGGATCGCGGTTCAAAGCCAGCCCAGGCAGGAAAGACCGTGAGACTCCTATCTCCAATAAACCACCAGAAAACCGGAAGTGGTGCTGTAGCTCAAGTGGTAGAGCACTCGCCTTGAGCTGAAGAGCTGAGGGACAGCGCCCAGGCCCAGAGTTCAAGCCCCACGACCGACAAAAAAAAAAAGAATGTTCCAGCTTCAGTGCCGTCATAATATTCCATGTACATATGTGAAAATGGAACTAGGAAAATTGAGGGGATGAGTAGGGTTTGGGGTGATGGGAGAGGATGGTGAAAGGGGTGATGCTGATCAAGATGCATTGTACTCGTAAGCTGACATGTTGAACTGGAACCCCTTTGAACAACCATTGAAGAGAATGATTGTAAAAAAGGCGTTCAACTTCTCTGTATCCTGTGTGGTGCAGTGGCTGTCAATGTTATCTTCTGATCTGTGCCTCAGGTCAGGCAAGGCATGGTGTGGCTCCCTGTGGTCCAGGCCACGGGCTCCCGAACCTGAGTTCTTACTTCAGTGGAGACCTGGGAATGTCTCCTGGGACTCAGCCCGGGTCCCCTTTAAGTCAGGAAGAAGCACACTGCGTGGTAGATAGTGACATGAAGGGACATGTGTGTCCAGAATTAGAGACCTAATCCCCAAATGTGGATTAGCCAGCAATGCGCTTACTGGATTGAAATGACTTTTTAAAAATGAGCTGGCGTCAATCAGATCTGGTAATAACTGATCCACATACACGGCCTGAGACTCTCAAAGCCAACTTTATAGCGTGCTATATTCATTAGCAGGTTCCCAACATTTCTGTATTGTCTCCATTTTACATTGGGCCCAGTTCTTCCCCCAAAGCCTCAACTGGCCTCACATTTCCCCTCCTGATCAGACTCCCAATCCTAGGAAATGAGTCCTCACTTTCTGTTTAGAAGGAGGCATTAACCGGTGTCAGATGGTTAAAGACCAGATGCAGGAACATACCAGCATCCAGTTCTGATGACAGTTCTCTGAGTCTCGTCTTGGCCCTGTGCCTTCCACCCTCCCTGCTGCCTCCAGCGTCCGTTCCTGGACCACTATCTCTCTGCAAGAAAATCATTGTTAAGACGTGCTGAGTGAGTGGATGGAAGCATTAACTCTTTGCCCTTTTCTTCACAGACGCGAGACGACTTCCTGGGCCAAGTGGACGTGCCTCTCAGTCACCTTCCGGTAAGGCCAGTTACATGTTTTCTGATGGTTTCTAGCTGCTGTGTGTGGAGTTTGTTCTCTCATGGTGGCTCCAGTTGTCACTCCATAGAAAGTAGTCCTTTCAAGGCGTCAGAGAGACTAACTTGGCTGTAAACCTTGCCTGGGTCTGAAATCTGTAAGCATTCCTATCAGCATCACCATTTCCTCTCCCCTCTCCTCATGCAGAATGGCATCTCCTCTGTCCACTCCTTTTTTTTTGTACTTGATTCTTTGCTCCCAAGTCCGTTGGTTGGTTTGGCCTGATGCTGCTTCCCAATGCTAGAGGTTCTCTTGCTGTTTCCCTAGATAGGCCACTCTTTCCTAGGTGTGGGTGGAGTTAGGACTGCCCCCATCAACATGGAGACAGAAGGGAAGACATGGTTGATTCTGAGTGCACTTGTCCCCAGGAAACACCCACTAGCTTTAGGGTGTGTGGTTCTGAGGCCCTTCTCTGCCCAGATGAGCAAGGTGGTGAACTATAACTGCAGTTAGGCGTGTGACCCACATGCAGGCTGTGGGAACAAGACCTGGAGGCCTTCGTGGAGGCAGGGCATAGTTTTCCAGGTTGTTCTACTGGTCCGCCTGACCACTTTCCTCTAAGCAGCACAAAGTACCATAAGTAGGAGAGGATGGTCAAATACTTCTTCCTTACAAGGTGCTGTGTTTTTAAATGCTTTGGATGAGCACATAGCATAAATAGTCTATAAACTAAAATGACTTAAAGCACCTAGTGCCTGCCTCCTGCTCTGTAGAAACCGTGGCTATTCTCCTTCATCAAATGCCAAGAAAGACTGTCTTTACCAGGAAAGCTGTGAAGATGGGTTACGAAGGAATGAGGCTTCGGGCAATTTGCTCTCACTCTCTCAGGCAAGCTCTTAAGGAAAAACGGCTTCAGGTGAATTTCCTTCCAGAGGATTGAAAGTAGAAGTGAGAATGTTGAAATTTTTTTGTTTGTCTCTGTATAAAAACCTGATACTTTCAGGTGCTCTGAGAAGGCGTATTTTGTGTGTCCATGTGGTGTTACTTCTACTTAGGCTAGTCCCATAAGCCATCATTTTGAAGAAAGACTTTATACATTCCTGCGTCAGATCAGTCTCTTACCATGCTCTGATCTGAGCTATACAATCCTGTGTTTAAATGGTGTTCATTGGTTGGCTACTTCTTCTGTGGGTCTCCCCAACCACCTGTTTCCCCAAAGGAAAAACCACATCGCGGCCTCATGAGAGGCTGAGTGAAATTTTCAGCAACCTTCCTTCACCAATGCCTTGTTGTGTGTGATTTAGTAGTGAATGGTTTTGGAAGATCGAACCTGACTTCTACAGAGTAAAAGATTTGTTCTTCAGAGACTGAGTCAATTGAGGGAATAGTTTTTGTATTTCGCATGGAGGTAAGAGTGTACTTGCAAAGAAGGAACTGGTGCCTAGGCTCAGTGCTAGAATAGAAATGAGTCTATTCAGAACATTGATTGAAGAACAGTTTATGAGGCATGAGTAGGATCTGAGACATAATACGGGAGGGTACACAGTGAAATGCAATTTTTTATATGATTGATATACACTAATAAATTTGGGGGGGGGGGGGTCCAGTCGTGGGGCCTGAACTCTGGGCCTGGGTGCTGTCTCTCAGCTCTTCAGCTCAAGGCTAGCGCTCTACCACTTGAGCCACAGCACCACTTCCCGGTTTTTTCTTTTTGCTTATGTGGTGCTGGGGAATCGAACCCAGGGCCCCAGGCATGCAAGGCAAGCACTCTACCACTGAGCCACCTTAATAAATTTTTTAATTTATTAAGCCCTATTAATAAATTTTTTAAAAGAAAGTAAGCACCAGCTGCTCACACATATAATCCTAGCTACTTAAGAAGCTGAGATCTGAGGATTGTTCAAAGCCAGCCTGGACAAAAGTGTCCGTGAGACTCTCATCTCTAGTTAATCACTAGAAAACCAGAAGCAGAGCTGTGGCCCAAAGGGTACAGCGCTAGCCTTGAGTTAAAAAAAAAAAAAAAAAACTCAGTGACAACACCCAGGTCTTGAGCTCAAGCCCATGATCAAAAATTTAAAAATTAAAATTAAAAGAAATAGATTAAAAAGCACCTGGTGAGAACAAAGTACCCCAACATGAGTAAAACCAGTGGTATAACAGATTCTTCCACTAATGTAAATGCCCAAAGAAAACTCTACGTTAAAGCCCTATGAGCCCATACTTCAAATTGACTCACTTTTTGAACCAGGATGGAACTGTGGTGGTAGAACCCAAGGAGCATATCTGAATTGATGTTGGCCTTTGGGCCCAGGATTTGAGGGTCTGTCAATATGCATATCAAGCCATTTATTTATGAGAATACTGTGTAAAGCTTGCAGTGTTGTTCATTTTGTGGGATAATGCATAAGAGTGAGTATGTAAGGTGGCTAGGAGCATTTGAACCTGTTTTGTCGAGTGCACAATGGATGATATTCTTTCCTTCACAGCTACACATTTTCATGGCAGATTATATGTGGTCTGGAAATCCGTTGTTTGTTACTTTGGATCAAAGGAAATAGAACAATGGAGAAAGTACCCCAGTTGTAAAGGCAGAGGTCAGTGGAGGGGTTACAAATTCTGATTGGGTGATACTTCTGGAGAGTCAGGATCCTAATCTTTGAGAATGGATCAATGAAGTGAGCTCTCCCTCATATAGCTGGGTGCCACCAATACTGAAGCTACCTATAGCCATAGAGCATTGACATATAGTTGGAGTAGTGGAAGAGCTGAGATCACAGTTCTACTCCAATTTAACTAAGATTAAACCCTAAGAAAGCCACATGTGGCAAGTAGCACATGTGAAAATGAAGACAACAAGGTGGGCATCAGTGGCTCATGTCTGTAATCCTAGTTACTCAGCAGGCTGAGATTCAATCTGAGGATCACAGTTCAAAGCCATTCCAGGTAGGAAAATCTTATCTCTAGTTAACCACCAAAAAGCCAAAAGTGGAACCATGGCTTAAGTAGGTAGATTGTTAGCTCAGAAACAGCATCCAGGCCCTGAGTTCAAGCTGCAGTACTAGCAAAAAAAGAGAGAGAGTCAGCATTCTAGCCTTATGAAATAAGTGAGTCTCAATTTCCTTTGCCCCGAACCATACCTCTAACTACTGAAGGAATAATGAGTGGGAAGATTTTCAGGCCCTCCAGAGTTTCATGGTAAATCTTAATGCTTTTGTTCTCCACCTTGAACTGTTTCTAATTCTGCATATGTAATGAACTAAGAATATTTAACTTGCATAAGATTAGACTCTGAAATTTGAATCCTAGAATAAAGGTGAAGATAAGTTTTCTTATATTAAAAACTGCTTCTTAATAAAATAGTTGACTGTTCCTCCATTTTTTACCTACATATTCATATATTTGCTTTAAAAGCATTAGACTGGGAATGAGACATTACTTGGTTGTTCAAGATAATACAAACCAACCAGGTACAGTGGCTCCCACCTATAATCCTAGCTACTCAGGCAGCTAAGATCTGAGAACTGCAGGCAGGGTGTGGCTCAGGGGGTACAATGCTGCTGGGCTTGAGTGAAAAAGCTAAGACAGTGCCGTTGGCCCTGAGTTTAAGCCCCATTACTGGCACAAAAGGGGAAAAAATCACTATCTCTGCCTTGCTTCTTTCTTGTCTCTGGGATGCCACCCTTAGGGAATGAAACTCTTCTCGATATCATGAACTTGATGGGCAAAAGTCAACAGCAGACGTGAGTTTAGCTCATGATTGTTATGAAATTCTTTTTAAATCATTTAAATGCTCTATTTTATGTCTGTAAGTTTGTAAAACAAATACTGCAGACCTCATGACTATTGTTGGTTGAAGAACTCTTCCTTGTTGAAATTCTAGAGGCCAGTTGCTATGGTTACTATTGGATATTGGTGTTTGCAATGTAAACCTCACTCTCACCATCTTAGGCTTGTCTTTCTCAAGCTGTTCCCCACCCCCATAAGTTCCCTAACCCAAAGAAACTTCCTAGGCAGACTAGAAGGTCAGTCTCCGCTTTTGTCCCCTGTGGGCAATTGAGTACAAGCACTTCAACATCATGGAGTGCCTACATGTTCCCCACAGCTCCTTGTCAACACCTGGGCACCTGCACCAGCACCTGCTGTGCTGGGTCCTGCGGGTCTTTTGTTTTTTGTTTTGGGGTACCAGTCTTGGGGCTTGAACTCAGGGTCTAGGCACTGTCCCTGAGCTTCTTTTGCTCAAGGCTAACACTCTGTCACTTGAGCCCCAGCACCACTTCTGGCTTTTTCTATTTATGTGGTACTGAGGAATGGAACCCAGGGCTTCATGCATGCTAGGCAAGTATCCTACCACTAAGCCACCTTCACAGCCCCTCCAAGGCCAGTGGCTCTCTGTCAGAGAGACAAAGAGGAGGCATCTGGAAAGCCAGAGACAGGCTGACAGGAAGGTTGTGCAGCGAGCGCTATGCATGGTCAAAGTCACTGCTGTCCTGTGTTTCCAGCTGAGGTGGCTGGAGGAAGCACCAGACAGCTTTCTTGTTACCCCTTGAGCAGGAAAGGGAAGGAGCCATAGTGGGAGAGAAAACCGGATCCTTTTCCCCCTTTGATCATAGATTCAGAGCTTCCTACTTTTATCAAATGCTTCCAGATGAAAGAAAATTTTTGAATTATGATTCACTTGTATTCTTGGCCACCAGTGTCTCTCTTCCCAGTTTTATTTGTAGGGACAAACAGATAGGAAGTAGGTTCAAGTTGTCTCAAATGGTAGGACCTCTGTTTACTTCTAATCCAGATCATATGGCTCATCTTGACTATTTCTTTTGCATTTTAATTCCTCTTGAGAACTGAGGAAAAAGATACCAGAGGAGAGGAAATAGGAATTGTAAGATGACACTTTATTTAGTCCAGAGAATTAGGAAACACAAATCCATACTAGGCTTTAGTAGTTGAGAATCTTACCTGTCAGGCATTGCTGACTTCCATCTGGGAGATGGCTAGCTTACCTGGTAACATTAACCAAGTTAGTATTCCTTTCCTGGCCCCTACTTGCCTGCAAAATGGGAGTACTGGTCTAGTTGGCAGCAAGCTTTTATCCAGCTCTGTGGAGCTGAGGAGCTCTCTATTCCCAAGCAGAGGCTGCACAAGCCATGGTGGTATGTGCATTACCTAGGAGATGCTGTTATCGGAGCCCAGGCAACTTTCATGTTCACATGAGCTCAGTGTATCACCGCCTTAAAAGTTCATACAGTATTTGATGACATGAACCTACTAATTGTGGATAAAAGTAAACCCACAACTTGAAATGACAACAGATTGAACTTCTAGCAGTTATGCCTCTGACCTTTTCCTTCTGTCTCTCTGTCTGTAGAGCCCCCCACCCACCCACCCATTCTCCCTCCTCCCCAGCACAGAATCTCCGCATCTCTAGGCAACACGCTGGGTGTGGAGAAGCTGTTTCAAAACACGAATGTGCAGTCTGCTTAGGTTAACCGTGGGGTGTTTGAATTTGAGTTTTTCTAGATTGGCCCATTTCCAGGGTGTCCAAGTTGTGTGATGCTCCCCCTAGACTTAAGCATTCTTCTACTCCTCTTGTGTTTGTGGCTGTTGGCGGGAACATATTCCAACACATCTGTAGGATTCGCCATCATGGCGGTCGGAGGGACTCGAGAGGCATTACTCATTCCTGAGAGTGTTCTTCGGGTAAGGATACCTGGGCCCAGCAGTCAGCCAGTTATCAGCAAGGCTGGCCCTCTGCCCTTGCATTGATGTGCCTCTGGCACTGCCAGGGGTGAATGGGATAGGAGTAGCCTGTGGCTTCCGGTGGCTGAAGCCAGGTTTTGGATCTGGGGACCTAGGGAGACTTTCTCCCTCCACTTAGCCAGAAAGATCTTTCCCTTACTCCATGTTGAGATTGCACTTCTGATTAGACAAGCACTCTTCTTAAAGCGACAGCACTAGCTAGCCGGCAGATTGTCTTTGGAACTTGCCTTCATCTGTGGCAAATGACTTCCCACCGCACCCTCAGTGCCGTGCTGGGAGTCTCCATGTGGCTCCGCTCTGGGGAACGTGGTCAGATTGGAAGCTGGGTAAATGCCAAGAAGAGCCTCATAGTTGTTGACAAGTTACTTCTTGTCCAGGCTAGAGGATGCCCGTGAAGGGGAAATTTCATTTTTACCACTCTACTTTTTCTTGCTTGGCATTGAGTTGGTAATGGACAAGTGGCATGAGAATACAGAATTGGCTGAAGATGGTAACAGCCAAGTTTGGTAAAGTGTGTCAGGCACACCCTTTCAAGGAGGAATGTAATGGAAACCACCTCAGTTGATTGGTTTAACCCTTACTACACCCTTGTAAGATGAGGATATGGGAGCCCAGAGGGGTAAGGACCTTGCCTTGAGGGTCAACTCTTTAAGTAACAAAGCCAGAGCACAGATGTGGGGTTTGCCTCTTGATGGTTGGTTAAATCTGGTGGTGGGTTAAGTCTGAGTAATGTGTGGACAGATGGCCTTCCAGAGCCCTCCGAGCTCCGTGCTCTTCTCCTTACTCCCAGGTGCCCTGCAGCTCCTAGAATTCTCACTAACACCCATGGATTGTTCTGGAGTCTCTGGGTACCCTGACCCCAAGCTTCCATTCTCATTCCTCCCACCTCTCCTCCACCTATCAAGATCTCTCTAGTAATCTCACATTGAACCATTTATCCCAAGTCTGACAGGGTACAGCCTTCTGCAGTGCCCGATTTGCTGTGCCTGAAATTCTAGAGAATAGGGCTGAGCTGGCCCCGTCCCTTTCCAAATAGTTGTACCCCTACGGACAGGTACTGTGTGCCACCCACAAATCTCTCACACGTTATTGCTCCAAAATGATTTGTTGGCTGAATAAGTGGGGGAAAGGAATACTAACAGCAATATTCTTGATTAGTAAAATTTCCATTATAAATCATGTTTATTTTAGAACCCTTTCTTATTCCCAAAGTGTCTTTGACTCTTGTCAATGATAGTAGATCGCCAGGGTCTCAGGACTTTCTGTAGATCAGATGAATGTATCAACTGCTTGGCCAGCAATGTTCTTGACACCAGTGAAGCAGTGGTGAACAAATCCACAGCCTTTCTTTTCATCCCAGAAAGATGATGATGAACTAATACATGAACAATTGAACATGTGTGTGTGAAGGAGAGATGATTTGATGATGAGATCAGCTGTGGTAAGGGTAAGGGGCTGGGTGGGAACTCCAAGAGCAAGATGGTTACATGGAAATAGACATACTATCTTCAGTCAGCTGTCTGTCCAGTAGAGAGACCTGCCAGTACATGGCGCTGTGGCAGCATTAGACATGATTTGTACACACAGCAGGTGAGGCTAAAATGGTTGGAATAGGAGTTTGTCAAACAGAGTGGTTCACAATGAAGTTAAAGGTAATTAAAAAGCACTCATCTACCAGATGGATCATAGAAGGAAGTTTTATCTTATTATAAGAGAGTAGGAAGTCATTGGGAGTTGAAGCAAGGAATAACATAAACAGATACTTGCAATGCAAATGTACATACACACACCTCTACCTCTGATATAAGACGTGATTATACTTTGTTTGTCCCTATTATTACAAAAGTAAATGTTTTAAATTGCATTTAATTAAAGAGTCTAGTTGAGATTTTACTACATGCAATAGTTTTTAAATAGCATTTGTTTTTCCAATTTCCTGCTTTGTTGAAGCAACCAGCTTTGTGCCATTAAAAAAAGTACCAGTTTCATTTGAAATGAACAGACATCTCAGATACAATCACAGCTTCCTGAAAGACATCCAGCAGAGCCGAGTGCCAGTTGCCCATACCTGTAATCTACTAGCTACTCAGAGGCTGAGATCTGAGGATCACAGTTTGGAGCCAGCCTGGACAGGGAAATCTGTGAGACTCTTAACTCCAATTAGCTACCAAAAAGCTGGAAGTGGAGCTGTGGCTCGAGTGGCAGAGCTCTAGGCTTGAGCATATAAGCTTAGGGACAGTGCCCAGGCCCTGAGTTTGAGCCCCAAGACTGGCACTAAAGTAAAAGTCCAGCAAAAGCTGATAGGTGCCACCTGGACTTTGTGCTGGAGAGAACCCATCATTTCTTTCAGACTTGTGATTTGGTATTTTAATGTGAGAAATTAGCTGTTGTCAAAGATTAGATCTTGCGTTTTTGTGGTAATCTTTGTTTCTGGAGTCACAAGGATTAAAGACATTAATGCTCATAGTGGTCCAAAGCTAATAAGCTCCTGGAGGTCGAGACTGTAGCCTGCAGTTAAAATTACACTTGGCAGCCAATGGCTGTAATTTTGTCATTTGTCTCTGGCTGGAGTTGGACTCCCAGAATCTGGTGTGGATAGCGACATCTAGTGGATCTTAAGGATGGATGGAGTCTGTGGCCTGTTTAATCATCTAGTACCAATTGAAGAGTTGGCTTTTTGTGCACAAGGACTATGTTCTAAAATAGCAAAACATCTCCTCTATAACCCTTTTTGGTGTGTCCAAAATATGAAATTTTCAGGATTATTGCTTTTTTGTCTAATTTCATTTTTCTTCCCATAGACAGAAGACCCCACCATGGAGCGACCCTATACATTTAAGGACTTTCTGCTTCGACCAAGAAGGTAAAGTTTAAGTGGGTACATATAGGGGGTTGCCAGTCTTTGGTGCTTCAGATACTAAGATCTTCCCTTCCCTTCCCTCCCCTTCCCTCCCCTCCCCTCCCCTTCCCTTCCCTTCCCTCCCCTTCCCTCCCCTCCCCTCCCCTCCCCTCCCCTCCCCTTCCCTTCCCTTCCCTTCCTTTCCCTTCCCTCCCCTCCCCTCCCTCCTTCCCCTTCCCTCCCCTTCCCTTCCATCCCCTCCCTTCCCCCTCCCTCCTCTTCCCTCCCCTCCCCTCCCCTCCCTCCTCTTCCCTCCCCTCCCCTCTCCTCTCCTCCCCTTCCCTCCCCTCCCCTTCCCTTCTCTTCCCCTTCCCCTCCTCTCCCCTCTCCTTCCCTTCCCTTCCCTCCCCTCCCTCCCTCCCCTTCCCTCCCCTTCCCTTCCATCCCCTCCCTTCCCCCTCCCTCCTCTTCCCTCTCCTCCCCTCCCTCCTCTTCCCTTCCCTCCCCTCCCCTCCCCTCCCCTCCCTTCCCCTCCTATCCCCTTCCCTCCCCTCCCCTCCCCTTCTCTTCCCTTCCCTTCCCTTCCCTTCCCTTCCCTTCCCTTCCCTTCCCTTCCCTTCCCTTCCCTTCCCTCCCCTCCCCTCCCCTCCCTTCCCCTCCCTTCCCCTCCCATCCCCTTCCCTTCCCTTATCTCCCTCCCTCCCCTCCCCTTCCCTCCCCTCCCCTTCCCTTCTCTTCCCCTTCCCCTCCTCTCCCCTCTCGTTCCCTTCCCTTCCTTTCCCTTTTCTTTTATGCCAGTACTGGGGCTTGAACTCAGGACCTTGTTCTTGCTTCGTTTTTTCACTCAAGGCTGGTACTCTAAAGTGCCATACTTGCCCTTCTGGTTTTTTGAAGGTTAATTGGAGGTAAGAGTCACACAGATTGGTCTGCCCAGTCTGGCTTCAAACCTGCAATCTTCCCCTCAGCCTCCTGAATAGCTAGGATTGCAGGCTTGAGCCACCAGTTTCTGGCAAATACTAGGGTTTCTGAAGACAATTTCAATAGTCATCATAACTGGGAAGGATGTAAACAAGTCAGACCTTTTATAACCAGTTTCCTTCCTTCATGCAGTCATAAATCTCGAGTGAAGGGATTTCTGCGGTTGAAAATGGCCTACATGCCGAAAAATGGAGGTCAAGATGAGGAAAGCAGTGAGCAAAGGGACGACATGGAGGTATGGGGGAACAGCTGCAGGCCCGGGCCTGCCCTGGCCGAGGCCCACTCATGTTCCACTGGAGACTGCCACTGAAGGCAGTGATAAAGCGATACGTGAAAACACTTCCATATGCCCCTGAATGTGTCTTCAATAGTCCACCAGTGCATTTGTTGTTGTAACAAACGCATTTTGTGTCACAGCACTAACAATTGGAGAGTTTGTCCTTTAGATGGTACAGCATGATCATTTGTGAACAGACAATCCGGTTTCTATCTACAACCCTCCTCCCCCACATACACATACACATACAATCTACAACATTCCAACAAGTTAGGCTGTTACTGTCTTGGACTTTGAACTCTCTTAAGTTGCTTATAGCACTTGAAATTGCTTTGGAGTGGACAGAGTGCTTTAGCAGATCTCTCTCCATTCCTGATGCATATAGTCTACAAATATGGCACGTAGGTAGGCGATTGCTTGTATTAGGAGAGGTCTCCTCTAGAAATTGCTGTTTGGGAATAATTAGCTATCCAGAGAAATTTTTCTTTTTGTCCTGCTGGCATCATGACCACTTCATTTTCTGGTCATATACCTGTACCCTAGGTCCCGGTGGACCTTCTCAGACAATGCCGTCTCATTAGACATGGTTTTTAGACATTGTCCATTAGGCGTTTTTCTCACGTTATTCTGCAAACCCACATGGAACACGGCCTCTCTGTGGCTGTTTTCACATCTGTTTGCAGCTGTTGCGTATACGTGACACGTGAGTGATATATTGTGGGCAGTCTGACCAACCTCCTCTGACCAAGGCCACATGTCTAGGCACTCTTTCACCATGGGCTCAAGTGGGTGGTAGGCCCCAGGGGAGGTAAGATTTGGTAATCCCAGCAACAGATTTTCATGTCAAATCCAAGGAATTTTTTACACTCTTCTTGCCTTCCAACTGCAGTAACCAGTGAATTACATGATTTTCCAGTGGCTTTGCTAGGGGATGTTAGGAAAGCAATACTTAATGCGTAAAGTATGCGCTGTAAAAGTGCACCTCTGATCGTGGTACCATGAGGCCTGTTTGTGCAACAGCTTCCAAGCTACTTCTGGCTCCTAGACTAATAGCAAATGCACAGTGGAGGCTTTGCCACCTCTTCCCCTGGGGATGAGCAGAGATGTGCCCCCCTGGTCGCCCACACCGAGCTTTGTTACAATGCATGTGCATATGGTACCGCTTTAGCTCATGGGGTTAGGAGAATGCCAGTGGTGACAGCTGTGACAGGCCCATGTCATTACCTTTGCTCAGCCCTGGAGACCTTCACGTCAGAATAACCAACTGAAATGTGAAAAGAGTACAGGGAGACTTAAGGAACTGATTCCATAACTCACTCCATGTAGCCCCCACTTCAGTACAGATATCTCAGAGAGTGGCATGATTAATTTGCCTATTGGTCCAAAACAAATTATTTATTTTTGTCGATCGTGGCCTAGGTGCTGTTCCTGAGCTTTTCTGCTCAAGGCTAGCACTCTGCCACTTGGAGCCACAGCTCTACTTCCCGTTTTCTGGTGGTTAATTTGGGGTAAGTCTCATGGACTTTCCTGCCTAGGTTAGCTTTGAACTGCAATCCTCAGATCTCAGCCTCCTGAGTAGCTAGGATTATGGGCATGAGCCACCGAAGCCCGGTAAGGTTTTTGAGACTTTAAATGGATTTCTTTTAAGTTTTTGAGGGTAGTATATCAAATTAGGACACAGGAGGCCCTTGCAAGACCCAGAATACAATAGAGCAAGGCTAAAGACTTGGAGAATATGCTGTAATTGTCTTTTCCCCAGAATCTGAAGACCAGCTTGAACTCATGAGCTTCCATTTGATTTCATTCCACAGCACGGGTGGGAAGTGGTAGACTCGAGTGACTCAGCTTCTCAGCACCAGGAAGAGCTTCCTCCTCCTCCTCTGCCCCCAGGATGGGAAGAGAAAGTGGACAATTTAGGCCGCACTTACTATGTGAACCACAACAACCGGACCACACAGTGGCACCGACCGAGCATGATGTGAGTACCACAGGCTGTCAGGGTCACTTGGACATGACTTGCCCCACACAGTTAGATGCCAGCATAGCCACTCTTACATCAGTAACACTGCCCTTAGTTCAGGTACAGCTGTAGAATTGTCAGGTCCACGTGGCAGGATGCTATTCTTAAAATCTATTTTTCCTAGATTTATCTTAATTTGAAAATTATGTTGTGAATAGCTTCTTCCCTCTTACTCAGCTTCCTCTCCTGATTGAGCCAGTATGAAAAACAGCAAGTTTTCCTTTAAGTTTTGGAATTCCTTCCTTCCTTCCTTCCTTCCTTCCTTCCTTCCTTCCTTCCTTCCTTCCTTCCTTCCTTCCTTCCTTCCTTCCTTTCTTCCTCTTTCCCTCCTTCCCTCCCTCCCTTCTTCTCTTACTCCCTTCCTTATTTTCATTACTTACCAGTTTCAGGGACAAGGGGTGCAGTTAACCCTTTGGTTTCTGAGGAAATTTTAAAAAGTCTTTAAGGAATCTTATTGTTGGATCATATTTTATAGCAAGACCTAAATCTATTGGTGTACAATGAAAAGCAAATTGAAAGTACTAAAGAAAGAAAATAAATTCTTAGAAAGTATGAGCTTCCTAGTAATAACCAAGAGTTATGTTAAGAGTTATGTTATGAGTTACTTTATAATTTTCCATTTACAATAAAGGCAAATGTATCCAATAAGATAATTTTCTGTCCAAACTCGAAAAGAAATATGTTGACGATCCTTTTTATACAGGTGATAGTAATCTTGTGCTCAAAGGAATTCTTTTGGTTTAGGTGTTTTATTTTGGTTTACTGGTCTTTTTGGAGACAGAGGTTCAGTATGTAGCCAGATTGTCCTTGAAATCATGCCTGCCTGCCTTAACCTCCCAAATGTTGGGATTACAGGAATGTTCCACCATTCCCAGACTTTGAAAGGACTCTTACAAACCCCGTATCTTTAGAAATTACAAAGATATTGTAAATGAACAAGAAAGTGGGTAGAGAATGTGGCCACTGGTGGTATAGGTTTTAATTAATTTCCAGCTAACATCTGCAGAATTGGGAATAGCACATAGTAGATTTTCCATGAGTCTCTGAGAAGGTCTTGTGTCTCACTGGTCTTGGTTACTTTGGATTGCCAGGTGACCATTAGCTCATTGCTCTCAGCATAAACATCAAGATGCTGGGGCAATTAGTATACATGGAAATGACTTCATTGATTCATTCATTCCCATTTCGTTCCATGAATGAACCATAGCTGTTGGGAATATGGAAAGCATTTGACTAGCTCTTTGCATCTGCCTCAGCTCGTGAAGAACCTTGCAGCCCATACTCTAAGCAATATGCCACTCTCCTTGGCCGATTAGGACAGAGGTATCTTACTCAGATACGCACAGAGGTGCCTCCAGAGGTTCAGGTGAAACCAGAATCACACAAGACCATGGAAACTAGACCACTCACTAATCACAGCAGAAGAAACACTGATAGCTGATACATACATGGAAAATTGTCCAACTTCATTCATCAGGACCATGCAGATTGCAAGTGTATATTTGGGGAATAAATAAATAATTGCTATGTTTTTTAACCTCAAGTCCTCAATGAGAAAACACTTCACACATTGCTTAAATATTGTTTAATCACCTTGGTGATTTTTGTGATGGCTTCAAAGGTGTTTACGTATATCCAAACTCTTCAAAACGGGTCTAATTTCTTATGAGTCAGTTGAAAGAAATACTTTGGTGTCACTGTCCCAAAGAACCAAACTAAAGCAAACCAACACTTTGTATGATGGTGGTTCATCACTCATCCAGAGACCAAAGGAGATGTTCTGATGTGGGCTTGCTGTGGTTTAGGAAGAAGTCAATGATGTGACTGTCCCCACCAGTAAGGCACCATTGCTGAAGGGAGAGACTGAGCCAGGAATGACACCTGCAGAACTCCATGCACATAAGGAGGTCAGCCTGTCCATGGGCTCAATTTGCAGGGAGCAAACAATAGAAGGAAAAAGTTTCTACAAACAGCCTGTCTGTCACCCCTGCACATTCATGGTAATCTGAATTGACCTAAAGCCCCTAGATCCAAAAACTATCATTACAAGTTGTGTTGATTCACTTTGCTATCATGAGGTACTCCTATAATCCCAATACTAAAGAAGCTGAGGTAGGAAGATCACAAGTTCAAGGCCAGCCTGGGCTGCATAGTGAGAAAACAAACAAGACTGTCTTAGGAAACAAGAATGCTAGACGTACAAAGTCCTAGGATCAAAATATTTTCATCATTCAGTTTTCACAGAATACCTTAGCACTCTTTAGAGGAAAATTGATATCATTAGAAACTACTGTTACCAGAGTTCGAACTCAGGACCTTGTACTTGCCAGACTTCCTTCCTTGGGTAGCACTCTGCCATCTGAACCGTACCCCCAGCCTAACTTTGTGCTGGTTATTTTGTAGATAGAGTTCATAGTCTTTTCTGCCAGGGTTGAATTCAAACTTTGATCCCCTAGATCTCAGCCTCTTGTAACTAGAGTTACAAGTATGAACCACTGGCACCCCACTGGTATCCCTTCTCCTCCCAAAAAACAATTAAGAACTCCCGGGCAGGTGGCAGTGGTTCATGCTTATAATCCTAACTACTTAGGAGGCTGAAACCTGGAAAAATTGTGGTTCAAAGCTAACCTGGGCAGAAAAGTCTGTGAGACTCTTATCTCCAACTAACCAGATGTGTAAGGAATACCAAAAGGTGTGTATCTGTTATAGGCATCTGTCACTTTGGTATCCATAGAGAAAGAAGGAGTCCTGGATTCAGTCCCCCATAGCTACAGAGATGACTATGTACCTGATGAATCATCAGAATACTGTGACCCCTGCTTTGAAAGCTGTGTTTACCTGATTAAGATGAATTGTGCATATACTATAGTCAGAATGAGGCTAAGAGTTCCCTGTTTGTCAATATGTGACACCAGAGTCTTAGTTGGCATGTGGCTGGCCCTGAGTAAGGGTTGATCTAGTTGTGATCTTGTTCTGAACACCCCTGATCTTCTCGCCCCCTCTCACCCTGCGGTCAGGGATGTGTCCTCCGAGTCGGACAACAACATCAGACAGATCAACCAGGAGGCCGCACACCGTCGCTTCCGCTCACGCAGACACATCAGTGAGGACTTGGAGCCCGAGGCCTCGGAAGGTGGAGAGGGCCCTGAGGTAGGCTGTGCTTGAGCTGCTTCAGACTTCCTGTTGTTCATAGGATGCTTCTGTGTTGTATCCCTCCTCTCAGCCCTGTCAGGAACCAATCACAGCTGACTGATTCCCATCTGGCTCTTAACAGATTTAACAAGTGCTTATGAAAGCCATGTTTGAGGGCAAGGGGCAGAGCTCTGTGATAGAGCACTTGCCAAATATATGGAAAGTTCTAGGTTCAGTCCCCAACACTAGGGAAAAATTAGAGAGAGGAGAGAGGGAGGAAGAGGAAGAGAAAGGAAGAGAAAGAGAGAAGGGAGAGAAAAGAAAGGAAGAAAGATGTTTGACCAAGTGCTCTTTATTATTATAATAAAGTGGTCTTCATTATTGCAGAAGGGAATGCCATGCTTAGAAGGAAAGAGTCTCACTTTTTAATGTGTTTTCCCCCAGCATTTACCATGTTTCATTAAATGACATCAAAGTTCACATATTTGAGCAATTGCCAACAATTATCTACTAGTTTTTTTTGGTTTGGTTTGATTTGGTTTGGTTTGGTTTGGTTTGGTTTTGTCAGTCGTGGGGCCTGAACTCTGGGCCTGGGCACTGTCCCTCAGCTCTTCAGCTCAAGGCTAGCACTCTACCGCTTGAGCCACAACACCACTTCTGGCTTTTTCTGCTTATGTGGTACTGAGGAATCAAACCCAGGGCCTCAAGCATGCAAGGCAAGCACTCTACCACTGAGCCACCTTCCCAGCCCCTCATAGACAGTTTTTACAAAGCCATTTTGACAACCTGAAAAGAGATTTCTGTTAGGAAGAAAATGCAAGTTTAGATTGATAGGAATGTTTGTAGTTTTTCCCTTTAAATGGCCATAGATCATTACTGAAAAAGAATATGAATTAAATGAGAAATCAGCACTAATCTTAAACTTCCATGTTATGTTGACTGCTGTTTACTTGGTGGAATTCCATTCTCTTTAGACCTTGTGTTGGAAAGAAAGTCTTTCACAAAATGTTGCCGAAATCATAACAACAAAAGCAGACTCATGATGCCATAATAAATTGACTGAAGTTATTTTACATTAAGGTTTAATTACAGCTAACAGTGTCTGTGCTGTTTTTAGCAGTTAGAGTAAAAGAAAACCCAGTAAAAAAAATCATGTCTGAACTCCTGAGATGTTTGTAACCTGTAATGGATCTGGCCCTAAGCCACTGCCCAGGAACATGGTAGTATGATGAGTGATCACACACAGCCCACGGCCTGTCTCCTTCATACTTGCCTTAGGCCAGTTAGTTACCCTCTGCGCCGCTGTGTCCTGTGTTCATTGAAACAGTGATCCTATCTTCCTCATGATTATCATGAAGACTGTGAACCTCATGGTAAATGTTAAGTAGAGGTTAATTATAGTTCTCCTAATGCTTATTATTGAGTGTTTTTGTTGAGGGGAGGAGGGAAGGATTTCCCAGTTCCTAGCATTGACTTGACTTTCTTATTCCTTAAAAGCCCTGGGAGACCATTTCAGAGGAAGTAAACATGGCAGGAGACTCCCTCAGCCTGGCGCTGCCCCCGCCTCCCGCCTCCCCAGTGTCTCGGAACAGCCCCCAGGAGCTGTCGGAGGAGCTGAGCAGAAGGCTTCAGATCACCCCAGACGCCAATGGGGAGCAGTTCAGTTCTCTGATTGTAAGTAGTGGTCTTGTGTGAAAGAACAGCCAAGCACCCATCTTCCGGTATTGGTAGCTTTAGGAAACTCTAGTGTGGCAAGCTAGTTACCTGTGGTGTTTTCCAAAGTCTTCCTTCAGAGAAGCAAGGGCTTCTAAGATTAGCCCAGGAAGGTGAGGATATTTATGATTTGGAAAGCAGTTATATACCACCGGCTCTTTTTGTTTTTATTACTATTACTTATCAAATAATGCAAAGGAATGAGATACCATAATTTCTGCAATCACTAGCTTTAACCTTGAAGGAATTCTTTCAAAGCCACAAAAAAGTTCATGGAACTAGCACTTTCATCATGAAGGTGGCATTTCATGAGAATCCAGAGCCTTTGGGCCTCTTTACTGGTCACCTGGTCATAGTTCATGTTCATTCTTTCATTCCCGTTTAACAGAGAAAATGGCCTGATGCTAAGTGCTGGTCCCTGCTCAGGACCAGGCTGAGGTGGGAAGTACAGGGTGTCCCTAAGTCCTAGAGTATATGAGTCCTTGAGAAAAGGTGACACTGATGTAATTTGACCATTGAAGAAGTTCTTCTCTAGAAACTTCAGATGAAGCTAAACCCCAATGAGAAGTAATGGATCAGTCATGAGTAGTATTGCATTAGACAATACCAAACTAAGGAGCAGTCTATATAGATAATTCCTTTGTGTGTGTGTGTGTGTGTGTGTGTGTGTGTGTGTGTGTGTGTGTGTGTGTGTGTGCATGCGTGCGTGCGTGCTCATGCGCGCGCACACACACAACAAAGGGCAAATGCTAACTAGTTCCTAAGGATGGCAGTTCCTCCATTAAAAATAGCAACCTGGAACCATTTTTAGGGAGGACTACAAAATTGTCAAAGCAAGCTACAAGCTTTCTGGTTCTTTAGTCAAGGGTATTTTCATTTTAAAAACACTGGCTTCAGTTAGATGAGTTGCAGGTATTGATTACTTGTTTCACATTAAGAGCCTGTGAGTGTTTTTCAAAAAGAGAAATGGCACTGAAATGAAAATGTAGTGCTTAAATGGACAGGAAAGAAAGTTCCATATGTGGTACATTTGAATTGGTAATACAGTTGCTATGGAAACTGCACAGGCCATGAAACCCTATGTTTCAAATGTATAAAAGAAAGAATTACATGAATTGTAACAGATACACACCTTTAGTCAACCAAGTAAAAATAATAGTAAGTTTCTCCAATGTTGGCATTTCTAGTTGTTTGTCTAGGGGGCTTTGGAATGTTAATTATTTTAGAAACGTAAATTATCTTTAATACCCAAGGGCCACATTCCATTATAGATATATGATTTACCTAGAGAGTCTAAAGGAGCCCTTCTCTGGTTTTGCTTCTCAGGGTCATTCTGATTTCAGTGACAGTATTTTGAACATTTTGCTCAAGAATAACTCCATGCCTTTCACTGTGCCTGGTCCCTATCACAGAGCATTTTTACACATGACTTCTTGTCATTTTGAAAATGGTAATGGGAGGAAAACGAGGGAAGGGGTAATAATGTTTGACAACAAATGTACTTACTACCTTACATACATAACTGTAACCCCTCTGTACATCACCTTGACAATAAAATTAATTGTTTTTTTTTTTTTTGCCAGTCCTGGCACTTGAACTCAGGACCTGGACACAGACAGTCTCTGAGCTGCTTTTGCTCAAAGCTAGCACTTGAGCCACAGTACCATTTCCAGCCTTTTCTATCTATGTGGTACTGAGGAATCGAACCCAGGGCTTTATGCATACAAGGCAAGCACTCTATCCCTGAGCCACATCCCCAGCCTTGATAAAATTAAATTAAACAAAAAAGAAAATGTTAAAGAATGCAAAATGTTTAAAAATAATACATGCTACAATCTTAGGTCATGGATAATTCTGCTAATGAGACCCTTGGCTGTTATCATTGTTCAGAGCTATCAGACTGTGTATAATTACATAGAATACAAACAAGCAAGAGAAATGCTATACATTACATAGGACTGTTTCTTTTCTGTTTCTTGAACTGTACCAGGAAGCTGAAAGTATAGAATCCTACAGTCAGAAGTAAGATGAGGTGGTTTTGTGACTTCATGTAGATACACAATCCAACTCATTCTTTGTTAACTGTAATAATGAATGTTGTTGGGAGCTAATGGCTCAGGCCTGTGATCCTAGCTGCTCAGGAGGCTGAGATCTGAAGATTGCAGTTCCCAGCCAATATCAGCCCAAACAGAAAAGTGATAGAGCCATCAACCTTGGGCAAAAAAGCCAAGCAAAGAACATGAATCTTTGAGTTCAAATCCCAGCACTAGCACAAAATAACAATAATAATAATAACAGATGCTGAGTAGCCATCTATTGCTATTTCTTCTCCTTTTGGGGGAATTTTTGGAATTTATCCAGAACTGGCATCTGAAGCAGGGGATACATGTCTTCTAAAACCCCCACCCTCCCACCCCCACCCCCCACCCCCTGTACTGGGTGGGGCTTGAGCTCAAGGTCTGGATCAGTGTCCCTTAGCTTTTTCTCTGAAGGCTCTACCACTTGAGCCACAGATTTAATTCCAGCTTTTTGGTGGTTAGTTGGAGAGAAGAGTCTCATAGACTTCCCTGACTGGGCTGGCTTCAAACCATGATCCTGGGATCTCGGTCTCCTGTAGCTAGAATTACAAGCATGAGCCACTGGCCCCTGGCATATTAACTTTTTAAAGCTGGTTGCTAAGCGCTCATCGGTGCTGCAAGGGCACATTGTATCTCCTTCCCAGTAGTTTTGATCTCCCTGTTTAAGTTTTGCTATTGATTCAAAAGACCATTCAAAATCCTAGTCTGAGCCAAGTGATGGTGGCTCATGTCTGTAATCCTTAGCTATTCAGGAGGCTGAGATCTGAGGATCCCAGTTCAAAGCCAACCCAGGAAGGAAAGTCCAAGAGATTCTTATCTCCAATTAACTACCAGAAAATCAGAAGTGGCTTTGTGGCTCAAAGTGGTAGAGAGCACTAGCCTTAAGCAAAATAGCTCAGGGACAGTGCCTAGGCCCTGAGTTCAAGCCCTATGACCAACAACACCAAAAAATCCCAGTCTGCTAAAAACACTGACACTTCAAACAAGACGACTTAACTCTCCTGGAGGAATGCTATCCTTGCTCTGAAAAGATATTGCATGTAATTACCTCAGAACAGCTGAGAGGGATTCCTAGGAATGATTTTTGAGAATGCTAACAATACCAGTGCAAGCCATTCTCAGAATATTCCCATTGACGCTTGCTGTCTTTCCCTCCCTGCAGCAGAGAGAACCTTCCTCGAGGCTGCGGTCCTGTAGTGTCACGGATGCTGTCGCCGAGCAGGCCCACCTACCACCGGTAACCCACGCTCATTTCCCATCAACAGCTGGCTCTTCAGCTTTGCTTTATGATCAAGGCTGCTGAGAAAGAGTTTTTCCTGTGTGTCACATAAACAAGACAGTTGAAATTTTTCTAGCAAATTGTCACCAGAGTCTCTAAAATGCTAAGACACTTCATGGCTGTAGTTTTACTCCCAATTTCACGCCAGTGCTGATGTCATTACTTGACCTAAACTACCTGGAATGTTAATAAATTCTTTTTACTTGATTTGGCCCTTGCAGTTGCAGCCTAGGGAGCTGGACTCTGACACTCAGTGTTCTCTTGAGCCCTTTAAACAGGAAGAACTCTTCTTTGTCACGACCAATGGCCTAAACTTTCAATTCCACAAAGCCCCTGTGCTCTCTTTAAAGACAGATAGCTCTGTGATTGAAGGACTGGCTATTGCTTGTTCTCTCCCTCCCACAGAGCTTCTATCAGCAAACACAGATGCGATAGAGGGTTTCATAATAGCCAATACGTTTTACAACATTTATTCCAATGGAAGGGCGGGCTCCCATGGATTGCCTTGGAAGATGTGTGGCGTCAATATTGCAATGAAGAAATTTTATATAAATTTCTTCCTTCTTTTGGAAGTGAATATTGTAGGCTTTTCATAACTGAGACCTTTTATTTAATTGCTACAAATCCTTGGTTATTTTTGACATACTTTATTACATATGATTTTTTTAAGTGAGTATATTTAGCCAGGTGTTGATGGTTCACACTTGTAATCCTAGCTACTCTGGAGGCTGAAATCTGAGGATCACAGTTTGAAGCCAGACCAGGCTGAAAATTACTTCCAATTAATCAGAAAAAAAGCTGGAAATGAATGGCTCAAGTGGTAGAGCACCAGCCTTGAGTGAAAAAGCCAAGCAAGAGTGCAAGGCCTTGAGTTCAAACTCCATTACCAGCACAACACACACACACACATTTAAAGCTTTGAGCCCAGTGTCTTCCTGATCATGTACATTTTTACTTGTCTTTAAAGGGTATATAGATCTTAATATTGTATGTTTAAGAACTGAATTAATGAAGGAATGTTCTAGCCAAGGCAATATATTCTGCTATGACTTAACTCTGAGTAGGTTGGCTAATAGGAAGTCTAAGAGCATCTTTTCGGGGATGGGTTATGGTACACCCACTACCAAAGAAAAATAATCAGCTATGATTATTTCAGCTCCTCAACCTAATGATTCTGTGATTTTCCTTGATGAGTTAATAGCACTTTGCTCTTCTTTCCAAAATCAGTGTCAATTTGTTTTGCAAAGAATTCACTGGCCTGGAAATCGATTTCTCCTTCTTTCCTTGTTCTATATGATGCTGGGTCCTCTCTGATCACCAGTGTGGCCTCTCACCTGAACTCTGAGTCTGGCAGACCTAGGATCTGCTCATCTTTGGACAGTAGGACACAGCTGATTGCTTTTCCATTTTTCTCTTAAAAGTTGTCTCACTGTCTTGAGGTGGTCATTCTTCACTCAGATCAAGGGTGCAGCTAGAGCCACCAAGGGTGTCATAGGTGCACAGTGGCTGCTGATCATCGGGGACTGCTTAGCTTCATTTAGATGAGATGAATTGGAAGGGGGGGGGACTGATCTCATATCACCTGATCTCCTGTCACCTGCTTATGACTCTGCCACAGACATGATTCTTGATTCATTAAACCCTTGGGTGGTCCCCTGAGTTGCATTCACTGATATAAATTGTCATTTAACAGCCCAGTACCCCAACTAGGAGAGCACGTTCGTCCACTGTGACGGGTGGTGAGGAATCAACGGTAATGACCTACTTTATCAGACATTAATGGCAAAAGTCTCTGGGGGTGGTTAATGTTTTGATTAATGGTGAATATGTTCTTTTAAAAATAAGGTCATCTTTTTTGTGCTACTGAGATGCACAGTTCTTATTTAATGTTCTCATTTTGGGGGTTGTTGAAAGGTACTAGGAACAATGGAATGACTTTTTTTTTTTTTAGTCCCATTTTTATTAGAAATATTGTCAGGCTTTGGCCAAATGTGTTGAATTAGACCACTTAGAATATAGCCCTGCCTTTTATTGTCAGTCCTCTTGGTGAGCTTTTCCTTGTTAAAATGCTTGGTTACAATAGCTTGCTTGAAAGATGATCCAAAAAGCCCACAGCAGCTGCCTAAGGTTATGTGTGAGTCCTGGCTGTGTGCTGTACTGCCATCTCCTAGACAACATTCTTTGGTTTTGGTGGTGTTGGGATTTGAACTCAGGGCCTTGTGCTTTCACTTGGCCTGCTTGCTCACAGCTGGCACTGTACTAGTTGAGCCACACCTCTAACTATGGATTTTTGTCATTGTTGTCTTGCTGGTTATTTTGGAGATGGAGTCTAGCAAACCTTTCTGTCCAAGCTGGCTTCAAACTGTGATCCTCTTTATCTCAACCTCTTGAGGAGCTAGGATTGCAGGGGTAAGCCACCCATCCCCAGCAGCATATCTTTTTACCAAGGGGCCAGACTTTGTTTCTGGCATGGAGCAGTGGCGGCCTTTCTCAGCCACAGAAATACACAAATGTTGAGATTATTTTCCCGGGCAGGGACCACACTAAACATATTTAAATGATCTGGAAAATTTTCTTTTGCTTAACACCAATTACTTATTATTCTTAGTCATTAGTGTGAATAATTTATACTATTCATGTGTATGGATAGCTTAAATTTGACTATGTATTTTAAGCTCATTCTACTTGATCGCTAAAGTCAGGGAAGTTTGTGTTGGTAGTTTATGGTTGAGCTGAGGAAGCTATTTGAAGAATTTCCCTTATTGTGTCACTTGGGTTGTGTTATAATTAATTGTTACTTGTGAATAACTTTTAACTACAGATATAATAACTGATTTTCTGAAGGATGTTGATTTCCAGGAGTGATTAAGATACACTGTTAGAATCTAATGCTCAGTACTTTATAAAAGAAAAAATCAAATTAGCAATCAAGTAACAAGACAGAGTATAGTACTGAGCTGCTGTTGTTTATTCAAGAGTCATATTAGAAACACCAGACTTAGCCTCCAATAAAATTCAAAGGAATTCTTCATGAACCAACTTACTTCCTGCTGTGCTATGAGAGTAATGAAGCTGCAGGATAGACCATTCATTTCATGAGATGATTTTGTTTTTTGTATGCCCGGAACATCTCTTTATGTATCATCCATTTTTATGTTTATTTAATTGACTTTACATGCTTGAAGTCTTCTAATGGCTAATGTTAGCAAATGATCGAATAAACCAATTGCTCTAATACCAAGCTCCAGGGTAAGAGTTGCCTATCAGAACAAGGTGACCCATTTAAATGGGATCCCAAGAAGCTGCCTTCTTGTCTGTACTTTCTACCCTCCATCAATGAATTAAAATGTGGGTTTGGTTTGCCTTTTAGTTTTTTTGTTTTGTTTTGTTTTATTTTTTATCGGTTGTGGGGCTTGAAGTCTGGGCCTGGGCGCTATCCCTGAGCTCTTCAGCTCAAGGTGAGCACTCTACCACTTGAGTCACGGCGCCACTTCCAGTTTTCTGGTGGTTTATTGAAGAAAAGATTTTCACGGGCTTTCCTGCCCAGGCTAGCTTTGAACCGTGATTCTCAGATCTCAGCCTTCTGAGTAGCTAGGATTACAGGTGTGAGCCACCAGTGCCCAGCTTGCGTTTTGGTTTTATCCACTGTTACGCTGTGCTTTCCCAGTACTTAGGTGGGTTTCAAAGGCTCACATCCCTCTCCCAACCATCCCTAGCCTCACTGCTCTGGACTTACTCTTTTCTGTTCTGTCTGTTAGCATGATTTTTACCTCTTTCCTCATCTCCTGTTTCTCTCCTCCCCACCCTTCCACACCAAATGTATGCCAAACTGGTGACCCTGTGGTTGAGCATCTCATTCTTCACCAGTGCCTTCCCAAACATGCTGTTTTGTTTTAATTTTAGAGGGGAAAAAACACATGTTGTATACATAATTTTGTTTGTGGTCATTCTTCCTTGGACCTATTAATAATGGGTTAATTTTCAGGGATGTAAATGCACCACAATTCATATCATTTTCCCTACTGAAGGACATTTGGGCACTATGCAGTGTGTTGTTGTAACAATCCTGGTGCATCTCTCTTTCCATAGAGTGGGTTTTTTTATTAGCTTATTTTTTTTTATAAGAACTAGATTCTGATTCTTGCGGAGCTACACACCGCCCTATGATTTCTGCAAGTATAAGTACACTGTGGTATTGCTTTCTGATGGGCTGAGCCAGAGTTGTCCCTTTGAGATAGAAGAAGAGCATGGCCCAGTCCTTTAATCCACCCTGTACAGATTCTAAAAATAAAAGATACCCCTGTGTCAGGGTTTGAGCAAGTCTTGAAGAATCTGTGATGCACAGGGCCAAAAATGGTTATTTTAAGGAAGCATATTGCAGCTTTCTCAGTTTAAACATACTGGGCTTCTTTGTTTTAATTAAAAAAAGAGGAGCCACTGTGAAGTTGTGGTTAGTGCCTGGTTGGCACCATGAAAGACAGTTAAATATTTGGTCTATAGATTAAAAAGTGAGAAAATATTGAATTTAGTTAAGCAGCGGGTATTTCCTATTTGGGGAGTCCCTAATTCTTCTTCTTCTTCTTCTTCTTCTTTTTTTTTTTTTTTTTTTTGCTTTGCTAGTCCTGGGGCTTGAACTCTGAGCCCTTTTTGCTTAAGGCTAGCTAGCATTCTACTACTTGCCACAGCACCACTTCTGGCTTTTTCGGTGATTAATTTGAGATAAGAATCTCATAGACTTTCCTGCCTGGGCTGGCTTCAAACTGCAATCTTCAGATCTTAGCCCCTTAGGTAGCTACTGGTGTGAGCCACCAGTGCCCAGCTAATTCATTTCTGTAGGTGGTCTGGAGTATACTGTCATGCATGTAGCAATCATTAGAAGTCTGATTTGGCCCCGAGACTGGGCCTTTGCCACAGATGTGCCTGTAGAAGCGAAGTTAACCCTGTGCACTGGGCAGCGGCATTCTTTGTGCACATTTGGAGAGGATACTCTAAAGAAACATTAATAACAGCATCTTACATAAATGCAACAAAATTATGGGTTGCCTATTCAATTCCCAATAGAAGGGAGACTATACGTTTTAATTAAATTCAGTGTTCTCTCTGCAACCTTCCTGATTTTCCATAAACTGATTAGTCTTGTTAGCTGTGGGTCTGTGAATGTAAAAATTTATACCATTGACAATTCAGTTTGAGATGATCTGTGACCCCTCCAAGTTACTTGAGTTTATTGGTTGCCTAACAAATATCCTTTCTAGAAATGCTGGAGCTGTAAAATAGATGTAAGGTTACCAGAACTGAGTGTTCTCAGAGCAAATCAAATTGCCTCTCAAAAATAAATAAATCTCATGAAGAAGAGAGAAAAATAACAAGCTCCATTTAATATTCCATGTGTCAAAGAATTTTTTTTAATCGTATCAGCATAGTAAATCAAAATGTAGTAGTAGCTGGGCTAGAGATACGGCTCAAGTGGTAGAGCAATTGTCTACCAAACCCTAGGTACTAGGTTCAAACCCCAGTCGCACAATAAACAAATAATAAACACACACACACACACACACACACACACACACACACACAAGGGGGGGGGGGGCTGGGAATGTGGCTTAGTGGTAGAGTGCTTGCCTGGCGTGCATGAGGCCCTGGTTTCAATTCCTCAGTACCAAATAAAAATAAATTAAGTAAATAAATAAATTCTTAAAAAGTAACATTTTTAAAAAACATAGTCACAGATACATTGTCAAAAATGCTGATTGATTCCCAGCTGAGATTATAACTTGGATTGCTAACTTAGGCCCAGCAGGAAGCAGTACTCAGCAAGCCCAGGTGAAAGTAGTCTGGAGGTAGCATTTGGGGTTTGCCATAATCTGCCTATCTTTAATGGTCATGAAAGGAGTAAGCCTTTGAGTTGATGTTTTTTCTGCTCTTGTTGAATCTTCATACCTGAGTCCAGGGTGGTGTGTGGTCAGTCTTGGAATCATCTTACGGTCCCTCTAGACCTGTCTAGGAAAATGTGGAAGAAGTAGTTGCTGTATTTTTCGCAAGGCAGTTTCTTACAGCTAGCCTTGGCCTGGCTTGGTAAACATAGTTTAGACATAACCATGGACTCAGTTCCTTGGGAAGTTTCCAGTTGCTCTGGGGTACACTGTGAGACTTAGGGAGCAGGGGCAGAGATTCTGCAGTTGTACTTCTGAACATCTCCAGCATGCTTGTTCATGCTTTCCCTAACTTGGGGTCCAGAGTGTTCTGAGGGAGACCTGTGGCCTTGTCCTTCTTCAGCAAGGCTCATGGATAGTAGTGAACAGAAAAGATGGGACAAGGACAGGAAGTTGGGTTGAGGGGAGTTATGTCATCCATCTAATTCTAAGAAGTAGTACCTGGAGGGGTGGGGAAAGACCCCAGTACAGAAGGCAGTCCGTAAAGCAGCAGTATCCTGACTGAAGAGGCCATTCCTCCGAAAGTTTCCCTTTTACCCCTCAGTAGCCTTGGGAGGCCCTGGCAGGCATCTTCTTGGTGGGCCTCTAGCAGTTCCCAGGTGCCAGGTGGATGTCAGCCTTCCAGGGTCATTTCTCACCTCTGATGCCCCATCACACGCTGAGTCACGACACATCTGCCCTTGTCCAGAACTCTTCCATCCACACTGCATCTCTTAGACTCTTTCTTACAAGGAGAAGTCTCGACTGTCTCTTGTGGTCCTGTCTTCCCTGCCCAAATAGACTCACTCTCTACTAGACATGTCCCTAAACCCAGTCACTGCCCATAGATTGTTACACTCCATGTGAGTGGACTGGCACATCCTTCAGTATGATATTCCTAGGGATTCCTCCATCACATGGCCAGAGATCTGAGCTAGGGTGTGCAGATGGCCATCCACCGTACAGTTTGGCAGTGACATTGCGTAACTAGCACAAATTACAATATTTTCCTCTTTATTTACAGTCTCCTTAGCAATGATTTCTTAGAATTGAGTGAGAACTGGGTGTAAAAATGTAGATGCCCCCAACTGTTTGGGGTTCATCTTACAGCAGAGTTGAAGCTCTTAGAAGCTTTGTTCAGTCTTCCAGAATTATTTTTTCTGTACAAATAGAATTAACTTGCCTTGTCCAGGAAATTTAATTATCCGGGTTTGTGTTACTTTATTAAACGAATCAGAAAGGTAAATGCTAGTTGTTAAATAATAATGATTTCTTGCACAAACAGCCATCAGTGGCCTATGTACATACCACGCCGGGCCTACCTTCAGGCTGGGAAGAAAGAAAAGATGCTAAGGGACGCACATACTATGTCAATCATAACAATCGAACCACAACTTGGACTCGACCAATCATGCAGGTAATGAAGATCGCCATCCAACCTAAAATCACAGGTCATAGCAGCCGAGATGCACTTGACCTTCATTCTATTCCCAGTGTTTATGTACTGTTCCGAAGGACCTGTGCCTCAAAAAAGAATCTCACAGAAAGCTGGGCACTAGTGGCGCATGCCTGTAATCCTAGCTACTCAGGAGGCTGAGATCTGAGGATCATGGTTTGAACCCAGCCCAAGCAGGAAAGTCCACGAGTCTCTTATCTCCAATTGACCTCCAGAAAACCAGAAGTGGTGCTATGGCTCCACGTGGTAGAGCAAAAGAGCCCAGGGACAATGCCCAGACCCTGAGTTTGAGCCCCACAACACACCAGGAGTACGTGACACGGGGGAGAGACTCTTTGGGGGCTTTTATGATTGGCAGTTGTGTTTAAGGCCTCAGCTAATGGGTAAGCTGAGAACTGAATGAGAAGTCATGCATTACTTTAGTATTTGCCTAAAGAAGACTTTGGTCTGTCCTTACATGTGTTTATTTTTTTAATGTTCCATGAAAGGTAGCTTGAATAATAAAGGCCTCTTATAGTAAGTATGCAGGTTCCCTTTCCACCTTTTCCCCAAGGCTAGTTCTTATACAGGCCAATGATTCATATTTATCCCCCTTGAATGTGTTTCCCTAACCTTTCCCCATTATTATGTTTAATTACTTCCTCCAAGCTTTAAATAGGCTAGACCTCTTATTATTGCTGTGTGTTGTTTGGGTTCACGCTTCCTAATGACACACAGGGAGATCCTCATATGAAGCTAACTTGTTTTTGCCTCCAAACTAGCTTGCAGAAGATGGTGCCTCTGGATCAGCCACAAACAGTAGCAACCACCTAATCGAGCCTCAGATCCGCCGGCCTCGTAGTCTCAGTTCGCCAACAGTAACTTTATCTGCCCCACTGGAGGTGAGAAGCGACCTCATCTAACTGGGGTCACCTCTGTCCTGTGGCTTCTCCTCATTCTCTCTTCTCTGTAACTCAGACTTCAGTTTGGCAGCCACTGCCTCTGATCAGTTATGTGTTGGTGGTGAGGGGTGTTCTGCGCGCTCCTCCATGCTTCTCTGTCTCGCCCAGTTAACATCTTGGACTCTCACACTCCTCATTCTCATTGGCTGACGCCGTGCGTGGTGACTTGTGCTGGCTCTAGGCACTCTCTCTTCAGAACTTTTACCATTCTTATTGTGTTCTGCTCCTTATTTGCCTGTTACCTCATTCGAATTGCATAATAACTCAAATGCCAATGCTTCTATTGAGTTTTTAAAACATAGCTGTTGCTTTGATCCTTTTTGTTGTTGTTATTTTTGTTTTCCTTTGACTATAGGGTCTTCATTGTATGGGCATACGTGTTTCTGATGCCTATTTGTATCTCTGAACCATTGCTGGGCATCTACTTGTGCTCTCTCCTGTTTGTGTTGTTTTAGTGCCATCTCTATAAACATCACAAATGTCAGAGTTAGAAAAGCCAATGAGTAAATGTTTGAGGTTCTGAACATGAATGTGCCTGGTTGATGGCTGTGGGCTTCTCCTTGCTCTGGGCCAAGCTGCTTCTCAGTGGGACTGGGTGATAGCTCTTCTAGACACACATATAAATGTGGTGGGTAACAACTGTGTCATTGTGGAGGGAGGGGGAGGGGGAGAAGGGGAAGGGGTCTCTGCTCAGAAACTTGCCAATTTGTTCTTGATTAGATTGTACGCTCGCTGAGAGCAGGGCCATGATTTTCTCCACTCTGTAAGTTGTCATCCTCATAATACAGGATTCCTAATATAGACTGGTATTTGGGGCATATACCAAGTGGCTTACCAAACGAAGTGATCATAAAATACCTAATATTGTGTATTTAACCGACAAAACAATGTGAAGTTAGGTGGATAGCAACATCAGTGAATGAACAAACAGGGTTTTTTTTAGGAGCTTCCAAGGAGGAGCACGCTACGGTACCCAGGTACATTTTGACACATTGGAAATAGCACATGGTAAAGAGTTCTAATGCTCATTATTATTCCTTAGGGTGCCAAGGACTCACCCATACGTCGGGCTGTGAAAGATACCCTTTCCAATCCACAGTCCCCTCAGCCATCACCTTACAACTCCCCCAAACCACAACACAAAGTCACACAGAGCTTCCTGCCACCCGGCTGGGAAATGAGGATAGCTCCAAATGGCCGGCCCTTCTTCATTGACCATAACACAAAGACTACGACCTGGGTAAGGCTGCTGTTTTTATTTCACCAGGAGGTCTGGCATTAATCCCTTTCTTTCCTGACTCTTTGTGATTGTTCAGGAGTTTCATCATCCACTCTGATGCATGGCCCCTGAGGGGGCAGTGGGGGGGGCTGAGTAGTGTCTCCTCACCTGTGCCTGTGCCACACAGCCGGGCTGGAGAGTGTGGTGGCTGTGGGCATAGACACTGGCCACCAGATCACTGGTGCCAGGTGGGCACACCTTTCCTCAGCACTCCTGGGAAGCTGTTTTCACACTTTACCACCAGTGGGGGAAGGGGCAGGATTTTGCAGTGACAGCATCTCGTCTCAAACTATTGTAACCCAGTGTTTTTCTCTGTCTCTTTTCCCATCTCTATTGACATTTTTCCACAACCACCATCCCCCCGACCCCCGCCCCAATTTCATTTGTCATTTTAGTGCTATAGTGTTTGTGTCTAATTAGTGTTTTATATCTCTATTCTGCGTTTTGTTTACATTTGGTTGTGGGTTAGATATACAGAGTGACTTTGCTGATCCATCTTTTCAGTCAACATTTTGTCCAAATTGATTTTTCTTGTCATACTGCTCTTTCATAAGCTCCTAAATCATCTATGGTCAGAAACTTTTGTGCTGTTTTAACGGGCAACTTGAGACTAAAACAGCACTGAATGCCTGTCTCTGTGTTCCTCTGTCATTTCTTTCCCCTTTCCTCTTTCTTTCTTTTTCTTTCTTCCTTCCTTCCTTCCTGCTTTCCTTTCCTTCCTTCCTTCCTTCCTTCCTTCCTTCCTTCCTTCCTTCCTTCCTTCTTTCTTACTTTCTTTCTTTCTTTGTTAGCTGAATCAGTGATAGATGGTTCAAGGTACCATAGAGTTCTTTTAAAAGTCAGCTGGTATTTTCCTACTGTGTGATCTCTAGAACTGTAATTCAACTGGAGTGGGTTGTCTTTATTCTTGGCTCATTTTGATGCTGCAAGAGCTTTGTTTTGCTTCCTGTCCCTGGTGTCCTCCTCTGATTGTCTGGGTAGAATTACCTCTGGGATTAACTTTGACCTTCCATCACTTGTACTACTTGCCTAGAACTGAGATTATATGAAAGCTTGCTTGAGTTCGGGAGATTGTCACTCACCCAGGCTTTTAGGACTTGGATAAACAATGGACACGTACTTTAAATTCCTATCTCTGGTGATGGACAGAGTGTGTCCAGTTGATGGAACCACAGTATTCAGCTAAGGAAAATGTCTCAACCAAGGTGACCTAAACTGCTGTTTACACTTGGTCCCTGGTGTGATGCTATTCCAATCCTTTGAGAACTGGTCTAGAGGGCAGCCCACTCCCTAAAGTCCAACGAAGCGAGATGCAGCGTGTCCCCATCAGACATTCTTGGCACCTGGGGCAGCCATATGCCTTCCAGTGGGGGATGTTGACATCCTTGGCTCCTACCATTGGATGCTAATAGCTACCATCACCTGCCCAGCACAGTGAAGAGCAAAACTGCCCCTGCACATTTGCAGACACCCCTCCCTAAGGACTGTGCTCAGAGTTCTCCCTGTTCAGCAGTGAAGGCATCGACTCACCTGCCAACAGCACTTACCATTGGGATCTGATGACACTCATTTGGTAAACTGATAACTACTTCTGAGGCACATAATGACATGGAGAGGTTTGTCTGATTCACCTTTTAGTCTGGAGATAGTATTACAGGTTTGTGGGCCAACTGAGAATAAAAGAGACAGGCAACTCTTTAGGAAAGAGCAATAGAAATTGATTTTAGGTCTTTTTTTTTCTTTTTTTTCTTTTTTTACATTAACTCAGAACTCCCTTGACTTGTAGTTCTCCTGAAGATCCAGAATCTCAGGCAAGAAACCAGATAGAGCTCCAGAAATAGGAGGTACATAATACAAAAGTCAGGGGATTAGTACATGGAGCCACTGTGGCTTGCCAACATAAGCTATGATTTTAGTAATGTGAACGAGCTTAGTAACCAAATCCCCTAACATTTTCACGGCCTTTCACGCCACAACTGCAGTGTAATTGCAGCTGGGCAGGTTATGTTTTAAATAGCACCAGCTTTCATTTATTGCTGCCATCACTGCTGAATAAAAAAATCCAGTTTTAATTTCCATTTGTCTTTTTACTCCAATACTTATTGACCAGTTTACTAAGAAATTTCTCATTTAGCCAATCTTTTTTTTTTTCTGCTGACTGTATTGAAAATCCTTAAGGTAACAAGTTGGAGATTCCCCTTCTTTTTATTTTTAAAATTTGTTTACTTTTATTATTATTTTTACTGGTACAAGCCACAGGCACCTAGCAAAGATAATTGTGGGTATGTGATAATGTGTGTGTGTGTGTGTGTGTGTGTGTGTGTGTGTGTGTGTGTGTGTGTGTGTGTGTGTGTGTGTGAATACCAGTACCAGATCTTGAACTGGCCTGGGCTCTGACCCTTAACTTTTTCACAAACCACAGCTCTGCTTCTAGCTTCTTGATGGTTAATTGGAGATAAGAGAGTCTCATAGACTTGCCTGCCCTGAATAGCTTCAAACCTTAGTCCTCAGTTCCCGTCTGCCTGCGTAGGGTTATAGATGTGAACCACTAGCACCCAGGGAAGCATATTTACAAGGGGCATTTACATAAATGAAGGCAGCATGCCAAGAGTCTATTTGGAATTAAAGCCTGACTGCATCAAAAAACAAACAAACAAAAAAGCAAAGGAGGGCTTTATTCCTGCCTGGGTCAGCCAACAAGACATGCATACATACCAGGTGGTCCTGGAGAAAGCCCCTCCTGCCCCCTAGCTAAGGAAACATCTCAGAAGGGTGGTGTGCCACTGTTTATGCTTTTCTCAGGACAAGGCAGCAGCCTGCTTTTTTAACAACGAAGATTACACCTTAGTTAAGTTATAGTTGTGTTTGCTTCCCAAGTTCAAACTAATATAGCTAATTATAGTCTAGGCATGATTGCCATTCTCTTCCAATATGGAAAGAGGAAAGGAAAAAAAAACATAGTTGTTTCCTTGAGCCAGCCAGAATCTCCATATTTTATATTTTTTTAATTAGGAAATCCTTCTCTTAGATAGCTGATGTGCACTAAAGAAAAAAGAGAATCAAGTATTTCAAGATACCTGGTTCATTTATATTCCTGTCATTCAACCTCATTAGTATTCCAGCTACCCTCATCCCTGAAGTTGTCTTAAGTATTGTCAGGCCTTGGCTGCAAGGTCACCTTGGCTGTTGGGTATGGAAGTGGTTCAGGAGGCTCAGTGGGAGAGCTGCCGAGTGATGACCACCCATCAGCCCTCAGCTGCCCTAATGGCAACTGAAGTCATTGTTCTAAGTATTGCTAGTATAATGAAATAATAGGATTCGGCCCTTTGTGTCCTATGAAAAGTGAGTTTTCACACAAGGCCTCTTTAGCCAACCTATGAGCTGCTTTTATACTTCTTCCTCTACTCTATTCTCGCAGTACCTGGCACTTTCCTTTAATCCCAGCTTCTCTCTCCCTTTCCCTCTCCCTCTCTCCCTCTCCCCCTCTCCTTCTCTCCCTCTCCCCCTCTCCCTCTCCTTCCCTCCTTCTTTCCCTCTCCCTTCTCCTCTCTCTTTCTTTCCCTCTCCCTCTTTCTCTCTTCTCCCGCTCTCTTTCTCTTTCTCTCTGTCTTTCTCTCTCTCACACCAAATATCTGATTGTGTTGCCCTGTTGATGAAGTATGATTCCAAGATGGGCCTTGCCTCCTTTTGTGGCTTTCTGTAAGATTCTGTAGATGGTGGCACGGCCATTGACTACATGCTCCAGGTGCCCTGTAGTTGTGTACCACCTGGTCAGCCAGGGGTTAGCTGAGTGTAGCTTATGTAGAATTCAGTGTTTTAATTTCTCCCCCTGTTCTCAGTTCACCAGTTGCAAATGTTTACAGTTTATCAGCTTCTTGGATCATTGAAATCCTATATCTGTTTAACATCTATTCACTCTATAAGTGTTCAATATACCATAGAATATTGGTATCACTTTAACTAATCTTATTAAAAAATACATTCAATTCAGCGTCAACATTCATCACCAACTGCTAAGATGACCTTTTTCTTTAAGTTTGTTGTAGCCAGCAGAAAACAAAGATTGATTGGGTTTTTGTGCTCTTTCCTGATTTTTGCCAGTTCCTCAAATCTATACTTAGTTACAATCTACTGATACTATTGTTTCTCCTATTGACTCAGAAACTGAAAAAAAAGAAACCTTTCAGTATTTTGACAGCAGCAAAAGCTTTCATAGAATTGCCTGAAGCTAGAGTTACATGTCTCGAGGGTTTGCTTTTTCATTTTGGGATGATAATATATTATTCCATTTGATCATGTATGATTCTGAGCTTTCTCATCTACGGAATTTCTAACTGACATTTTAAAGTCATGGATTATCTAGGTTATGGATATGACAGTCAGCTCTGGGACATATAACATTTAGTCAAATTCCCATTCTCATTGACTGCTCACTTAAAGACATAGATCATGTGTTCAACCTTCTAACAAGGGGTGTTACATGAGTCTGTGTTTATTCTCTGTAAAATTATAAAGCATGGCACAGGATATAAGAGTCCCATATTTCCCTTTTGATGGTTTCCTGTATTTGCTTCAGAAAAAACTTCTGGTAAACTTTGTTAAGACATACATGAGAAGTTCCTCTGTAGAACTTGGTTAGGAGCCTCGGTAAAGTTCATAGCCAGGCACATGATTCCATAGAGTGAAGAAGACAGTCTAAGGGGCGGTCACATGACTTGCCTGTCAGAAAGATTAGGAATCTCTGCTTAGCATCCCAACATTAATGGTATGGTATCAGGATTCATGGGAGACATTTATGAACACTGAACACCATATCTTCTTTGGAGTAGAACACATCATCTTCCATCCCGGTTTCCATAGTAAAAAAAAAAAAAAAAAAAATCACTGCTAATGCTTGGAGAAACCATTAATCTCTCATTTAAATGTTCTTGCCCTTCTCCTCATATCAAGCACAAGGAAGGAAGGCAGAGGCTTACCTGAGAGGTGGAAAAACGCCATATTGGGAGCCTTCCAATGTGCCACACATAAGCACCCTGGTTGCTTTGGAACTTGCAACTTGGAAAACAGTACAAGCCAAAAAGTGCCCACAGAGTTCCTATTGACATCTCTTGCGCTTTATGTTTTTCTTATAGGAAGATCCACGCCTGAAATTTCCAGTACATATGCGGTCAAAAGCATCTTTAAACCCCAACGACCTTGGCCCTCTTCCTGTGAGTATACTGAAGACACATGGAACAGTCTGAAAATGTCCATTGCTAAGGGAGAATCCTTCTCCTGGCTTCCTAGGTCCTATGGTTCTGTTTCTTAATAGAATTGAGTAGTTGGTGGAGTTTTACGAGTACAGTCAAGAATATGTGATGCTAGTACTTGTAAAAGCAATGTCTGAATTGGTAGACATTGAGCAAGAGCAGACGAGTGGCACTCGCTTTGGGTGATCATGTAAGCACGACATACCGTAACAACCACCAAGCACCTCCATATTGCTGAAAATCATAGAAACAAAGATATTCAAAACAATGGGAGAAGAAAAAGGCATAAATAATCATAGAAAGTGATTCCAAGTCATTTAACTATGTTTCAAGTTTATTTTCTCCCTTGTTGGTGACTAGGGGTTTTTGGGTTGTCATTGCAGGGGGAAGGGGGTTGGGATGTGCAGTGCTCTTTGTTCATCTTGAGTTTAGGATGAAAGCTTTGCGATGTGTCACCATCAAGAGCCCCTAATAAGCCGGGCACCGGTGGCTCACGCCTGTAATCCTAGCTACTCAGGAGGCTGAGATCTGAGGATCGCGGTTCAAAGCTAGCCCGGGCAGGAAAGGCTGTGAGACTCTTAGCTCCAATAAACCACTAGAAATGGTAAAGCTCAAATGGTAGAGCACTAGCCTTGAGCTGAAGAGCTGAGGGACAGCACTCAGGCCCAGAATTCAAGCCCCATGACCAAAAAAAAAAAAGAGAGAGAGAGAGAGAGAGAGCCCTTAATAAAAACTGGGGCAGAACTTGGTCTCAAAACTATCTTAAAGGGGAATTTTTGTTGTTGTGTTCCAAATAGGAAAAAAAGAAGTTTTGTGTCCTACTATATATGGTATATTGTGGCAAAATTTGAGACTATAATACTTAGAATTCAATCATCATTCATTAGATTGCACAAATAGTCCTCACCATTCATTGGTCTCTGGACGCCAATGGAAGTCTGTTGAAAAGTAAAAGAAAGCATTTTTTTTCTGAATATATTTTATTCCCAAGTTTCAGATAAGAAATAAGGCAAGGACAGATAATGGGGACATACTGTATCTTCAAAGTTGTCCATACGTTTTAGTTCCTGAGTTTGCATAGTGACTGTTTGTAGCAGAGATAAGCAGCATTGGGTTCTTCAGCGACTCACTCACTAAGTAAATTCACCATGAGTAACCTGTGGCTGAGCTGCTTCATCCCTCTCCGGGGCTCTCAGCATTTAATTAAATGAGCCCATCACACTTGACTCTTCCATAGTACGAGGAGCCCATTTCCTGCCCTTCATGTGGGGAATGCTCCCTGCATTGTGTTCGGTGTTGCTAGGTACTGCTACCTTCAAATATTTGTTGTTTAAGTTTTTCTTGGTCTAGTGATGTTTCCTATAAGTGAAGAATAAGAAAGTGTCCAAAGTTTTTTTCAACATTGCTTTTGATTTCTAATGCTAATTGATGTCATATTCTCTCTCTCTCTCTTCTACCCCTCCCTCACCTCCCCCCCCCCCCCCCCCCCCCCCCCGTTCCTTCCACGGACACTAGCCTGGTTGGGAAGAAAGAATTCACTTGGATGGCCGGACGTTTTATATTGATCATAGTAAGTAGGCCCTGCCGTGGGCGCACTGTGGATGCAGGGTGCCAAGGGGAGGAGGGTTCTTCAACTATGATGGTGAAAACTTTGTCGTTTTACTCTCTGTCCAGGTAGCCAGGTGTTATGTGGCGAGAATGATGCCAGGGAGCCAGTGCCCTCCTACGGTACTGTGCCTGCGCCCCAAGCTGGCTTCCAAGTGCCCCGTTGAGCTTTCACCCAATTTGATCTTGTGACCTATTAACTTTTTTTTTTTAATTAAAAATTTTTTTGGTTGACGATCCCTTGACATTTGCGCTTTTTAATATGTATACTCGAAATAGAAAATAAGATTAGAGGCAATACCTTAGTAAAAAAAATTTTAATTTTTTTTAAAAAATCTATGTGTAAACAGTGCTTGTAAGTTTTCAAAACACTGTCTTCCAAAGGTCTTATGGCAAGAAAGCCCATTCTGACCTTATTTTCTATTCATAGCATGTTACCTTGCACCCAGCACACTAATATATATATATACATATATATACATATATTTAGTTGTTTTCTTGAAATTGTAGCAAGTTTGCTGAAGACATTGGCTCCAGCACCTATAAATTAATGTGTGGTTTCTCATTTCAACTAAAAGTTAAACTAATAAATGTTTGCTTTTAGCCAGTGGATTACTTTATTTTTCAGTTTGTTTTTAAGGTGACTTGTTCTTCATGGGATCATTTTTACTTAGCCCTTAAAATTTCTGAAGAAAAAGTACATTAAAAAGAAGACTTCAAATCAATACAAAGTTCCAGTCATATGTGCAGTTTGGTAGTATTTTACACTTGGGTTTGTATAATTCATAAGCAGGAAATCAGTGCCAGATCTTCCTTTTGTTTTTTCCTTTTTTTCCTTTTTTACCAGTCCTGAGGCTTGAACTGGAGAACCTCGGATTCTGTCTCTGAACTTTTTTGCTCAAGGCTAGGTAACACTCTACCACTTGAGCCACAGCTCCACTTTCAACTTCTTTTTTAGCAATTAACTGGAGATAAGGATCTCACAGACTTTCCTGGCCGAGCTGGCTTCCAGCCATGATCCTCAGATCTCAGCCTCCTGAATAGCTAGGATTATAGATGTGAGCCACCAGCACCCAGCTTCTCTTCCATTTTTGATGATGAAACAAGAGCACATGGGTGAGCCCTGTGCTGAAAAATCTGGCCACAAATCATACTGGGTCTGTGCTCCTAGAGGCCTAGAACTTCTACCAGCTGCTGCTATATTGCAAACAGGACTTTGCTTTCAGACATGAGGACTTATGTGTTCTCATACACAGAATGTAAACAAGAGATCCAGCTATTCAGCATTAAACCCAAAGTACAAGTCCTGAATGCATTTGAAGGATTCAAGTATTTGAAGGCACATGGACTTAGCGTTTTGCTTTGATTGGAAAGCAATGAGTTGCCTGCTTTCTGAATTTTTGCCTTAAACATAAAGTTGTTTCAGTAGAGCTTTAAAATGTTATGTGTATACCCTACTTTCACCCTCAATCTGCTGGGTTTGATTTTTTCTTTCACTTTTTTACTTTGAAGAGATACTGTTAAAATGAGAGAGGCTACACCTCATTTTTTTTTCATTACAACAAAAAATGCAGTTCTCTTTTCAGTTTTTTATTCTTTATTATTTCATTTTCATATGAATAATACTGATTGTTTTAGTAAAACAAGGTCTTAAGTAGTAGCACAGGATTGTCTGGGACAGAGCACAGAGAACATGCCACATCTTAGCAGGTCTAGCTGATGACACTTAGAAAAAACCTGGAAAGAACTTTGTTAGGGCTGGGAAGGTGGCTCAGTGGTAGAGTGCTTGCCTTGCATGCCTGAGGCCCTGGGTTCGATTCCTCAGCACCACATAAGCAAAAAGAAAAAAGCCGCAAGTGGCGCTGTGGCTCAGGTGGTAGAGTGCTAGCCTTGAGCTGAAGAGCTGAGGGACAGCGCCCAGACCCAGAGTTCAGGCCCCACGACCGGACCCAAAAAGAAAAAAGAAGAAGAAAAACTTTGTGAATGTTCTTTGTGTACCAGCAGGCACCAAAAGAACAACACTGATTGCAAAGCAGCATGATAGTGTGTGTTAGGAATAAGAATCATCGTTGTTTCTCCCAAGGATATGCACAAACCTGATAAAAATATGTAGTAGATGCTGAAGAAATGATACCTTGAAGTTGTTCATCAAGGGTCAGTGATAAAGTGTCTGGAAGGGACTGTTGCTGGTTAGAGAGTAGAGAGCACTTGCCAGGAGAGACAGCAGCCGTGGCCTTCTGGCCCCAGCTGGCCTTACACCTGTTCATCGGAAGTTGGAAGGGGACAACTGCTTGCTCCATGCCAGGCTGAACTTTACTTCTGATCCATCTGCCTGTTGCTTCAGACATTTCCCATTCCCCTTCCTAGAACAGCACATGTGGACCTCTTCTCTCCCCACTGGATCTGAATGCTGTGGTCAGACTGTGTTCTGAGTCTGGCTGATAGCTCAATTGTTTGAGGCCTGACATGGAAAGTTAGAGGAGGATTTGGAGCAGGATATCTAGCTGTCTTGGAAAGGACATCATTCTTACAGAATGGATGCTCAGTAATTGGCTATCCATACCTTAAGTTAGAATTTAACATTCCAGTGACTCCTGTTTTGGACTCGGCAAAACTAAATGGCTTACCCTTTTATCCTTCTTGGCCTTTTTTTTGAAATTTCATGTCTCATAGACAAAAAAAAAGCAAATTTTGACCCAAAAGTTCATTTTTTTAAAAATCGCTAACTTGCCCCAATTCATTCATGTGCTGACAACACTTGCTGCAGAATTGATCTTTGTAACCACACAGAAGTAAAGTGTAGCTGTTCAATCATTCAGAAGACAATATTGTAAACTCCTGTTAACTTATGGGGAACCTCTCGTTAGCCATGGCAGGGGGTGCAAGGCTGAGTAGCACAGACCCATCCTCAAAAGACTTAAATCAACAATGCCAGCAGTGTCTCAGATGTTGTGTTAGATATCCATGGCAGCCATTGGTACGGGGCAGTTGAAGAGAACCTTAGAAGACCATGGGAAGAGTGACTTCCCATGCAGGTAGATTTCCAGCAGGGCGGAACCTGGCAGGTACAACAATTCTTGAGCAGGGAGACATGCAGGTGCATGGCTGTAGGTGAACTATATCATGGTTAACAGAAATGCAGTCTCATTCCACCTGGATGGTAGACAAAGGTGCCTGCTCCAGCACCTGGGCCAATTCAGCAGGTGTCTGCCAGGTTACGGGCCCATAGGTTCATTCTTCATGCTGGAGGGGCTTCTCCAGAGCCTCTTAGAGATGTATGACACCAATCTGATGCTCTTTACAAAGAACTTGGAGCAGAGCTGTAGAATTCTTGAAGAGAGAGGAATGATACTAGCCAGGGAGACCTAGGGACCAGAGTGGTTCCAGAAAGATGCGAATTCCCCTGCAAGAGTCCCAAAGGAGAAGAATGGGGACCACCAATTGAGACGGGACCAGGTTCCTGATTTGGACAGTGTCTAGATTGTGCTGCTGACTGGGAGTATGGGTCACATGAGTGCTTTGTGGTGTTGGGTGCTGACCTTGTTCTGTTTAGACAGAGTTGAGCTGAGGAAGCAGGGACCCGGTGCAGATGGAACCTGACATTCAGGTCTCATCAGAAGGTTGGGGAGCACTCCTCTGTTGAGAGTAGTAGTTGATGTATTTATGTTCTGCTCTGAAAACAAAAATCCAGTAGACACAGATATTATCTAAGTTGATATTTTAAGGCAATATTTTAGTTTTCTCTCAGCTACACTCTGAATTTTCAATTAGTTTTCATTGTTGTTATTGCTGTGTGTGTAGGGGCTCACATGTGCCCCTACATACACACACATGCTGGAACTCAGGGCCTGGGCTTTCATGCTCAAGGCTAGCACTCTGACGCTTGAGCCACAGCTCCAGTTTAGGCATTTTGGTAGTTAATTGAAGATAAGAGTCTCACAGACTTTCCTGCCTGGGCTGGCTTTGAATTGCAATCCTCAGAACTCAGCCTCATGAGTAGCTAGGATAATAGGTGTTAGCCACTGGCATCAGCTTGATTTTCCTTTTTATCATGATAGCAGCTTTTACTTTCCCAAGACTTTGCTTCCCATGATAAGGGACCTAAATACACCTTGTGTTTCCATCAAGATTCTCCATACAAAGGCTTTCATACTGATTTTCTGTCAGCCTGAAAACAAGATAAAAATTGTAGAATATTCCTATGCCTTGAGAACCTTTGTAAAACTTTATCTTTGCTTTCATCAAAATAATAATAGCATCAGACTTTGGTTTAAAATCCTAGTTATAATGACTAAAATTGAATTCTTTTGTTACCACCAACTCACTTATTATGGTAGAAATATACAGGGTTAATATTCAGAATTTTCTTCCCTTTCCTGCCTCCCTCCTCCTTGAACAACTTGGAAATCCCATTGTTCCTCCCCGCCCCCGCCAAAACCCCCCAAATCTTTCCTTCTTTTTTTTTTTAATGTCTTAGCTACTTCAGTTTTTGTGTGCCTGCTAGTGGCACATGGAAGGACTCCTCATTTGTTCAATGGAAGATTCCCAACTGAAAACCGTTTTAAACACCATTGGCAAAAGAAGGGGGGAAGGGGAAGTATCTGAAATGAGAAAGAAATCATGTGTGTGTTTATTAACTTCCTGAGAAACTAAAACTTTTTGTGCCTTTTGTATATTAAAACTCAAGATCAACTTATAAATCCTTGGAAGGACAGGGGTTTATAATTGAAATTTCAGCTGATCGCTTGCCAAAAAACAGCACAAGATGGTTTTACCTCAGTCCTGCATATTGGATTGAGTATTTTAACAGTATGAGAAGGGTTTGTCATGCAGTGTATCATTACCTTCTAATCATAAAATACTAAGTTGTGGTTTGGGAGGAGAAGGTCATAGGAGATGAGTAGAGAATTTTTGAGAACCCAGAAATAGTTCTCTCTAAATATATAGTATACATTGGAACTAATATGCTGATCTCTCTCTTTCTCTCTCTCTCTCTTTCCTCTCTCTCTTTCTCTTTCTCTCTCTTTCTCTTTCTCTCTCGCTTTCTCTCTCTCCTTCTCTCATTTCAGATAGCAAAATTACTCAATGGGAAGATCCAAGACTGCAGAACCCAGCCATCACTGGCCCGGTCAGTATTCTCAAGTTCTGACTTGTTTGTGTAAGCCTGTGGGTGCACTGAGACATTCATTTCTTCTATATTGCGATTACCATGGTGAGGTGGAAAGTTTTAAGACTCTTCCCATCTCCTCACTGGCTTCCACACTGGGTACAGTTGCACATGCCTTTTTCTGGGGCAACGTTATAAAGAAAGAAGAAATGGTTTGATAAAAATGAAACATTACTTCTTTGTAAAAGGATGAATGAATAAATAGAATCAGGAGCTGGCTTATGCCTGTAACCCTAGATAGTTGGGAAGCTGAGGTCAGGAGGATCATAACTAAAGACCAACCCAGGCCAGAAAGCTCCCAAGACTCCTTTTCAACCAATAGTTAGGCATGGTAGAATGTTTTGGGGTTTTTTTTTTTGTTGTTGTTGGTTTTGGTTGGGTTTGGGGTTTTTTTGGTGTCATTACTGGGGCTTGAACTCAGAGCCTGGGCACTGTCCCTGAGCTCTTTCGCTCAAGGCTAGCATTCTACCAATTGAGCCACTTCCAGGTTTTTGATTGTTAACCAGAGATAAGAATCTCATTGACTCTTCCTGCCAAGGCTGCCTTCAAACTGTGATCCTCAGATTTTAGCCTCCTGAGTAGCTAGGATTACTGACTTAAGCCATGGATGCGTGGCTCCTCTACTCCTTTTTATAGGAAGTGAAACCAAGCCCCATGTTTGTAGAGCATGGCTATTTCTTTAGACTAGGGTTAGTAAATGCATACTAATAAATTCAAATCTCTACCAGATTTAGAAGAGTCTGTGGGCATTTGGATGAGATTGTTGTTGTGTTATGGGGGCTGGCAGAATTAAGAATCTTTGACTCTGCTGACTCAGTGCTTTCTTGGAGAGTTCCTGGTCCACTGGATGGAAGAAGAGTCTGTTCTGACTTAGGCATGTGAGCTCTGTAACAGTGTAAGACACTGTGTTGTGGGAGGAGGGAGTCCACTGGCATTCAGCAGCACTTGGTATTAAACTTAGCAGCTGCATCTATAAGATGCATCTCCCATCAGCAGGGAAGGCCGTGCAGCCTTAGCCACTAGTTGCAGGAGAGCAAAGAGATACTTTGAAATTGCTGGAAGTCCACAGAGGGCATCCGAAGACTGCGAAATAATTCTGTAAAAGAATTCAGGAGCAAACCAAACTCAAGTTCTGTTATATCAAGTGCTGATTTAAGAAGCTATTTGAAATACTAATTTTACCCAGGCACTGGTGGCTTACGTAATCTCAGGAGGTTGAGATCTGAGGATTACAGCTCAAAGCCAGTATGAACAGGAAAGTCCATGAGACTCTTATCTCCAATCAACCATGGAAGTAGAGCTGTGGCTCAAGTGGTAGAATGCTAGCCTTGAGTGGGGGGGGGGGCGGGGGGGGGGAGGGGGGAAGCCCAGGGACAATACCCTGGCCTTGAATTCAAGCCCAAGAACTAACACCAGAAAAACCTGATTTTATGACTTTAACCTGATTCAAATTATGTTTTAAATAATAAAGATCTGTCTATTTGGAAACTTAAAAAGATACCACATAATGGGCACTAGTCGCTCAGGTCTATAGTCCTAGTTGCTTAGGAAGCTGAGGTCTGAGGATCACAGCTCAAAGCCAAGAGAGGCAGAAAATTCCATGAGACTCTTATCACCCAATCAACCACCAGAAATCTGGAAGTGAAGCTGAGGCTCCAGTGGTAGAGTTAGCCTTGAGCAAAAAAGCCAAGCAAGAGTATGAGACCCTGAGTTTTCAAGCTCCCCAGTACTAGCAACCACCACCATCCCCCAAAAATATAATACATTGTAAATGTGTGTTAATTGATACCCCATTAGCCATTTGTAGGTTGAATTTATTCAGCTACTTTGGTATTATTTTCTGTGTGAAAGGCTTTAAAGAAAGTCAACTACTTAGAAAACACTACTTACTACAATGGCTTTGCTTTTGATACTGTCAAGTAGGTTGCTAGAATATTTTTCCTTGCTTCATGAGAAGCAAGGTAAATCATAATAAACCATGCTGCTCTCCAAGAGCCAGAAGACTATTGACAAAACAATTAAGAGCCTTGTTCTTATAAATGATACTGCTTCCAATAGGAGTGTGTGTGTTTGGGTAATTGTCAGCTTGCTTATAGACATTTGACTTGCCATTTTGTTCTAAACATTTGGCAATTTGCATATGGTTTTTCCTCTTGATATATACATTCTTTAGAATCTGCTTTATAGCATCTAAGCCCATGAGAAGAGGTTTTGTCTGTTCCTCTTTTTTTTTTTTTTGGTTGTTAATTTCTCTGACAGTACTAGGGCTTGGACCTCATGCTCTTAGTTAGCTTTTTTGCTTAAGGCTGATTGATGCTCTACCATTTGAACCATATCTTCATTTCTAGAGTTTTGCTGGTTAATTGAAGATAAGAGGCTCTCAAATTTGCTGAAGCTGGCTTCAAACCTCTATCCTCAGATCTTAGCCCCCTAAGTAGCTAGGATTACAGACATGAGCTACTGGATGCCTGGCTGATTATCTAATTTTGTAACTTCACTGGGCGTTTGGTTCATACTGACTTTCTTGTCTCTTAGCTTTCATTCTCTTCTCTCTCTCTTCTCTTCCTTCCTTCCCTTTTTTTCTTCAACTACATTGTGAGTTATTACTCATTTCTCCTAGTTAATTATTTCTTTTCCCGCTTCCTAATCCTTGGGTTGAACTCTGGGCCTGGGCACTGTCCCTGACCTTCTTTTGCACAAAGCTAGCATTCTACCTTTGAGCCACCACTCTACTTCCAGCTTTTTTGAGTAGTTCATTGGAGATAAGAGTCTCACGGAGTTTCCTGCCTGGGCTGGGTTGGAACCATGATCTTCAGATCTCAGCCTCCTGAGTAGTAGGATTACAGGCATGAGCCACTGGTGCCCAGTAATTATTTCTTAAGATGTTTATAATCTCTTTATCTGTCCATTGTGTTTATTATTTCAGTGATTGCTTAATTGGTCAAAATTCTACAATCTATAACATTTGGTTAGCCATTTTAATAATTTTGTTGTTCTATCTTTTTTGGTTGGTTATCTTACCACTTTAAAATCGTTTAATTAATCTTTCAAGTTATTCTCACTCTTGTTCTAGAGCCATTAAACCTTGCTAAGTGTGTCTATCCTCCCTAATGGCCGTTGGTTGTCTGGTTCAGTGTATGGTTTGTATGTGCATGTATGTTCATCTTCATTTATTGTTTCTATGAGACTTTTATAAGCCCTAACCAGATGTGTTGTCAGCTTTGTTTCCTGGGTTCATGCCATCACCTCAATAGATTAGCTGTGGCCTCATTTCATACTTAGATATCAGCTTGGAGTATGGATTTATGACACATCTCCTGCTCTCTGGTCAGCTTCCTGTAGTCTCTTTGGACTGATGAGGAGTACTCATGTCCCCTTTTCAGATGTAAGGCTCTAAACAGAGAATCCTGTTCTGGCTCTTTTAGTTATAGGGATTGTCAGCCAAGTCTGTGTCCCCCTGGGAGAAGACCAACACCTAAACCCAAGTACCCAGAACTAGCTCCAGTGGCCTGGTATTCCCTAAGTTTGAGTCTTTCTTGCACTTGTAGTTTCTCTCCCTTTTCCCAAGTTTTAAACACTTAGTCCTAAGCTGGTCCAGCATTTTTGTGGTTTTTAAGGAAGGGGAGCCTTTCTGCAGTGGTTAGTGTACAGCCTCCCGAAGTCAGAGTAGTCTCTCTGTGACAAATAATACCATGGTTGGCTTCTGTTAGCCTCTGTGCATGCCTGCTGCCAACGTAAGACATTGTGTATTTCTACAGACTTTATAATCAACTGGTTTGGAATTTCCAGCAATCCTCTTAGGAAGGTAGGGGGAGGTGTTCTGTTTCCCAATGGAAGCTTGCAGCGCTAAATTGTGGTAGCTCTATGAGCTCCTGCAAAGGTGAGAATCAGGTCTGGAGCCCCAGCATGCTAGGGTCATAGGCCAGAGCTATATCCAAATGTTTTTGGTATTAGGAGACCTGCTGCATTCCCAAGGCTGTCCTCATACTTACTTTCCTCCTGCCTCCATGCTGGGCCTACAGACAAGTACCATCATCAGCTTTCCTCAGAGATTTCAAAAGCATTATTAGTTTCAAATGACTAGTATAGTCATTTTGGGTTGTGTGCTAAAGTATCGTAGCTAATATAACAACTACATGCATAAATAAATATATACTTTATAATATAAATATATATTATACACAGAAAATATATAAGCAGGCACCAGTGGCTCATACTTGTTATCCTAGCTACTCAGGAGGCTGAGATCTGAGGATCAAGGTTCAGAACCAGCCTGGGCAGAAAAGTCTGGTGAGACTCTTATCTCCAATTATCCACCAAAAAAATAGTAAGTTGGAAGTGGAGCTATAGCTTAGGTGGTAGAGTACCATCATTGAGTGAAAAAGCTAAGGCATAGTACCCAGGCCCTAAATTTAAGCCCAGTACTGACACAAAATTTTAAAAAGAGAAAAGGAGGAGGAGTGTTTGTGTGTGTGTGTGTGTGTGTGTGTGTGTGTGTGTGTGTGTGTGTGTGTACACACGTGCGTGCGTGTGTGGGCATGCCTGCATATTACTATAGTTTATAGCTTAATTCAGATCTTGTAAAAAAATTACATATTCAGTATGTCTGGCATAGTGTCAAAGGTTTTGAGTCGGGCACAAAATTCTAGTTTTAAATCCAAGCTACTTAGAAGGCAGAGATTGGTATCTCACAGTTTGGGCCTGGCCTGGACTTAGAAGTTTGAGAGATTCCATTTCAACTAATGTCTGGGTATGGTGACACCTACCTGCCATCAGCTATGGGGACACACAGTGGCTGGGTATGGTGGCATGCCTGTCATCTCTAGCAACATTGGGAAGCACAATAAGAACAAAGCTCAGGCCAGTCCAGGCATAAAGCAAGACCCTACCTCAAAACCAGTAGAAAAAAGGTGCTGGGGGCCTGGGTTAAGTGGTAGAGCACATGCCAGCAAATGTGAGGACCTGAGTTTGGTCCCCAAACTCCCCACCTCAAAAAAGAAAAAGCTAGAGTTTTTTGACTATGAGTTTCATTATTTGCAGAATAAATCCTTACCACACTCAGGACTCATTGGATAAACCTTAGCAGTTCTAGGACTGCTTTTTGTCCTAGGTAGATATAATGTGAATTTTCTGTGAAAAATACTCAAGTTTATGATTCATGAAATGCTCTGAATATTGACTTAGTGTATATAAAATTTCAAGAATATTGTTTGCATTGTCTTCATTTATACATTTATCTTTCAGGCTGTTCCTTATTCCAGAGAATTTAAGCAGAAATATGACTACTTTAGGAAGAAATTAAAGAAACCCGTAAGTAATCTCTTCCCAAATACTGATTGTCAGTCATTTGTAAGTTACCAAAGTTACATCAGTGAAAATAGCTTGTTACTTGTGAACATACATGGTAAAAAATGTCTTTTTTTTTCATTGCGTGTTAATCCATCCGGGTCTTTGATCTGAATTTTCATCTTAAGAAATGGTAGCTGAAGATGAACTCAATATTACACTCAGATCACCCAAAAAGATAATTATGTAATATCTCATGAAAATATAGGAACAATTCTATGGAATATAACATAGTTCAGGACCTGAGACAAACAATCTTGGAAAGTCCATACAGTTGCATGATTGTCATATTTTAGTAAACCTATATCCTAGATAGAAAAATGTTCATGATCGCCCCCTTTGAGTACAGAAATGTAGTCTTAACTGTAACTTTTATATTCCAACATAAAGGAAATATTCAGTATGTAATCCAAATACTTGTCAATATTCGGTCCAAATATGTGTTCAATTACATTCTCACTGGCAGCTGACCACCAAGAAATCTACTAGGTTTCCCTAGGCAGTGCTGTAGCTTACAGGACTGGGATTTTTTCCCTGGTACACCACACCCAAGTATGTCCATGTTGTTTCTCTGGCTTCTGGTCCCTCTTTCTGATATTGAAGTTGGCTTCCTGCTTGGCAACATTGTGGCATCTGTAGGAAAGGAGACTGTCAAGCACAGTTTGGCACCCAGCTCCTGGGGCATATTACCCTCTCCCTGCTCAATCATCCCATGATTGGTCCCACTGGGAGCCCTGGCTATGGACGAAGTTCTGCTGTCCCTTTATTTCTCTTCCCAGAGTCCTGATTCAAATTTTTTTTTTTTTTTTTTTTTTGGTTGGTCATGGGGCTTGAACTCTGGGCTTGGGCGCTGTCCCTGTGCTCTTCAGCTCAAGGCAAGCGCTCTACTGCTTGAGCCACAGCGCCACTTCCGAGTCCTGATTGAGATACCCCATCAGTAACACTTCTGACATGCTCTGTCCTTCAGTCTCAGGAACGCCTAAGATCCTGCTTTCTTTATGAGCCATCTGCGTGTCCCCCGTAGTAGACAATGATAGTAGCTGTCACCCTGGGCCTCATCCTTCCAGGAGGCCATTCTCACAGCCTTAGTTGAGTGTCGTGTTACTTTTGTGTTCATGAACCAATGGACTTCGGGGGTACTGTCCCCAAACTTGACAGAATCAGGATCCAACAACCAAAATGAACGTGCACACATCATCAAGTCCATAGCAGAGATGACAATGGTCTCAGCCTTGGGGCGAAGGGAGTGGGGGCATTGCTCATAGCTTTTTCTTTTCCTTTCTTTTTAAATATTGTGAATTTTTTTATTATCAAGGTGATGTACAGAGCATAGCTTTTTGTTAACTTGGCTAAATGAAGTCTTTTTCCTTGACTTCAACAACACATAGAGTTGACTATTTCACTTGGTGGGGGGAAAGGGGTGGAGAAAGACCCCCAGTGTTTTAAAGAGGCAGAGGATGCTTTCCTCCATCCCTAGATTTCCTTCTGCAGCATATGTTGCTGACTACCTGAGCAGCTCTGAGTCTATGCTCTGTGTCCCATGCTAACCCCATGAGACTGTCTGTGAGAGGATCGCAATTAGACCACTTGACACTGCTCTTTCATTTGAAGCCTGACCTCATTTCTACTCCTCCTTTGTTGTTTTTCCTGGAGGGAGGAGAGGGAGGAGAAACAGGTATATATTTACTTGTATGACCAATGAGGTGTTTTCTTCTTGATGTAGGCGGATATTCCAAATAGATTTGAAATGAAACTTCACAGGAATAACATATTTGAAGAATCTTATCGGAGAATCATGTCTGTGAAAAGACCAGATGTCCTAAAAGCTAGACTATGGATTGAATTTGAATCAGAGAAGGGTCTAGACTATGGGGGTGTGGCCAGAGAATGGTTTTTCTTACTGTCCAAAGAGATGTTCAACCCCTACTATGGTCTCTTCGAGTATTCTGCAACGTAAGTAATATGAAGTACATTCAGAATGTGTCTCCCACACCAATTATTTTACTCTTGATTAATTTAAACCTAATGAGAAGATGGACCTATGCCCCATCCATTTGAGATGAATCAACACTGCTGATTTTAGTCCCTTCCCACCACGTTCCTTCTCAAATGTCTAGACCAGATTCTGACCCTACATGGTACAGTAATGAATTCTGCAGATGTCTAAAATTGATTCAGCTCATGTCTGTTGGGTCCCCAGAATTGAAATTGAAAATGTGTTGGGTAATTACATTAAGGAACAGAAGCAATTTTCATTTGCAAAATTGCATTAATAATTCAAGAGGGAAATTTGTCACTGTCAAAGCAAAAAGAGTCATATGAACAAGGATAGTCTAGGACCCAAAGGCCCATGCCTATTCCTACAAGGGAAAAACCAAGCTGCACCATAACATTGGGATATCACCATTGCCAGGCATGGAAACTGAGGCAGGTTGAATTGCTTTCTCACAAAGCAAATAGTAGCTACTTTCATGCACATTCATTTCTCTGGAGGCTGAGGCTACTAATAGCTTGAGGTAGCCAGGTGCCAATGGCTCCGTGTTACTCAAAAGGCTAGAAAGTCCATGAGTCTCTTATCTCCAGTTAATTACCAAGGGAAAAAAAGCCAGCAGTAGGGCTATGGCACAAGTAATAGAAGGTCAACCTTAATCAATAAAGCTAAGGGACAGTGCCTAGGCCCTAAGTTCAAGCCCTGGTACTACCACCAAAAAAAAAAAAGGGGCTTGAGGTTGGTCCTGAGCTCCTAGGACTAGCAAACAGTGTTTAACATCACTCCATCCTGGGCTGTGAAGGATACTAGTCCTACTGCTTCTGCCTCATGCACTTCTCCTTGGGGCTCATTTGGGAAAATATCCTATGTTGCTCTCCAAATGGTCATTGTTAGTTACTGAAGCCTTGAGAAAGTCCACTCTAGAAAACTGATCAGTAGAAGGCAGGTTAGAGAGATAGAATCCTGGACTGGGAAGGTGGCTCAGTAGTAGAGCGCCTGCCTTGTATGCCTGAGGCCCTGGGTTCGATTCCTCAGCACCACATAAGAAAAAAGCCAGAAGTGGTGCTGTGGCTCAAGTGGTAGAGCACTAGCCTTGAGCTGAAGAGCTGAGGGACAGTGCCCAGGCCCAGAGTTCAGGCCCCACAACCAGACCAAAAAAAAAAAGAGAGAGAGAGATAGAATCCTCACTTCCTACCCACACTCCCATTCCCAAACATTACTCCCTGGGAAGAATATCCCCTGGAAGTATCATCTTGGAGCCCAGTTTGAAGGACACCGATCTTCCTGTTTGTAAGGCCAGAGAAGTAGTACTGAGCATCCAGCATCCTGGCTTTGCCTTTTTGACAGCAGACCCTGCTCTGGGTGTTCTTGAGACCTTTCTAGGAGAAAGTAGTGATCAGATATTCTGAGAGCTGGGCCTATACCCACACCTCCCACACCTCTGAGGTCACTGCTTTTATGAGAGAGACAATCTAAGGAATTCGTATCTCTCAGAATCCCTGCACAGTGCCCTTATTATGTGAGCTGTATCAAAGTCTTCTCAATTTTCTAGCTGCATCATGTGAAAAATGACATTTTTAGAGATCACGGATAGGCATCCAGCTGTAAAATTGAGTATTCGGTGGCAAAGTAAAATTGAGATTCTTGGATTTCTTCACATATACACAAAAGTGATTAGCCTTTTCTTCTCTCTTACCCTTCCCCTTCAAAGGGACAACTATACACTTCAGATCAACCCCAATTCAGGCCTCTGTAATGAAGATCATTTGTCCTATTTTACTTTCATTGGAAGAGTTGCAGGTCTGGCAGTATTTCATGGGAAACTCTTAGATGGTAAGTTTTTAAAAAAAAAAATAATTTTCAAAAGTGGGATGGTATTGTTTGTGCCTCCATATTAAGCATCTCTTCTTTCATATCAGACATTATAAAAGGGTTCGCCTTGTGTGTGTGTATGTGTGTATATGTGTGTTTCATTTCTGGGAATAGAACCCAGGGTTGGCACATTCTAGTCAAGCACCATACCACGAGTTACATCCCTAGCCTTCAAATTATTTTATGTTTTACTCATCATGGCTATTTTTTCCTGGTATCCACTTGGGCACTGAAGACAATGTGTGCACACTTTGTCTGTCTTCTAAATGTAAAGCTCAGAACATACTGGGTTTTTTGGTGTGTGTGCACTGTTTTTCAGAGCTACTTTCCTTTAGATTTAGTGACAGATGGAAAAGCTAATTGAAAAGTTAATTAAAATGATCTAATCCCATCATGATCCAGCCATTGTTCCATTTGGCCCCAAATTATTTTCTAATGTGAAAAGACCAAATAATTTCAAAGTAATGTTGTAACTCAGCTAAGACCATAACCCTGGAGTGCCAGCTGAAATGGATGGCACAAAATAACTTCATTCTTATTTAGAGCATACAAATGGCAGACACATTTCAAGGCTGGAAGAGTTAGAAATCAAGCCCCCTCCCTGCTGTAACAAGCAAAGCTTGTTGTGCAGATTTGTTACGGACTTGGGTGTTTCACAAGTCGTGTCCATAAGAATAAGAGAGCTCTAAAAAATAAATCATCATTGAGAAAAAAAAGTCCTGAGGGTTTGTTTTTTTTTTTTAAGAACTTGAGTTTAGAATGGTTAAGGATGAAAAGTAGTAAAATTAGAGACTGACATTTCAGTAACTGTGGAGAGAGCCGTTTCCATAGCAATTATGTTAATTGCATTTTATAGAGCCAGAGCTATTCCAATAAATAATTGATATACCCTCCGTACATTTGCCTTTAGTATATTTTTACTCTTAATTGGTGATTTCGGTGCCCTGATCAGTATTTTATTTTGCAGAAAAGGGAGGTAGACACTTCTCTCTGATTCTCTGTCCCTGAGTATAAACTGAGCCTCTTTTTGGCCCTCCGTGTACATTGTAGGCCTTCTTTTTGACACTCTGTCCTGTGGGTATGCATCTCTGACATCTCACTATTTGCATATACAGTTGATAGGGGTTTTTTTCTTTTTTATTATTATCTTTAAGTTTTTCAAAGGGGTTTCAGCTCAGCTTGTGAGTTTGAATGCAATTCATCTTGATCATTGTCACCCTCATCTCCCAACCACACCCATCCCATCATTTTCACATTGACTGTTATGACTGCATTCTCTCACCCTTCAATGCCTCTCTAACTCTGACCATGCACACGAGACATTTTTCTGTGACATCTCACTGCCTTTGCCTGTGTGCAGTGCATGCTTCTTTCTGACTCTGTGTATAGAGTCCTTGCTTCTGTCTGTCCCCCTCTCTCTCCCCCGGGTCCATTTATCTGTACAACAGATGTTTTCTGTCTTGGTCTGTCCATGTGCACACAGTGCACCTGCAGCCTCGGGGTCCTGCCTGGGGTGATGTCTCCCTGTTCAGGTCACCTCTGCCTTCTTAGAGGGTCTGTGTGTTCACCTTCTGCTGGGTGAGGAGCCACTGTTAGCTGCTGTGAGAGAATGCAGAGAAGTGTGAGCTGTGATGCTGACGTCGGTGACCTCCTGTTTTAGTGAAAATAATCTCAGCAATGGCAGGGATCCCATGGAGTCAGTTTCACTCAGAGGCTAAGGAGGCCTTCACTGTGAGGTCGGAGCAGCCAGTGGCTGTCAGTGAAGGGAAAATAAAGGGAGAGAAACCTAAGAAGCGGGGTGGGGGGGGGGGGGCTTGAAGGGGGTCACAGTCCATGTCAGGAATTGTCAGGGTGTACTGTACCCCCAGACTAGTCATCATCCGGTCCATTTCCTGAAAACACGATCACCTTGGGGGAGAGGGACAGGGAATGTGATGGAGGGGGAGAGACTGATTGGCATACAGTGTAAGTGTGTAGAGATGTGGCGATCAAAGTCCGCCTCCCTATAACTAATATGAGCTAATTGTTTTAAAACACAAATGCCTCGTTGACAGTGCATACGTTGCTAATCTATGCCCCGTGGTCCACTTCATCCTCTTACCTGGAAGTCTGTGTATCTGCTGCTCTGGAGTTATGTGATGCCACTTTCGTTTGGAGGAGAAGTGGAGATCCCTGCCATGGGACACCTGCCTCAGGAGAGATTCCTGGCTGCCATTGTCTCCTTGGAGAGATTCCTGGCTGCCATTGTCTCCTTGAGACCCGGGCCTCCGCCTGGGAGGCTGTGTGGCCCTGAGCAGAGGCCGCTCTCATTGGCCTGCCTGTGTTTTCACCCCATGCCTTTCCAGGGATGGCATTTGGATCGCTCCCCACCCCCTTCTCTCTGGCCTCTCAGCCTTTCTCTGTCCTGACCTCCCTGCTGACACATCTGTCGGTATAGCCCCTGTCCCTCCTGCTCTACCCTTCCTAGGTGCCCCTCTACCTCTACCTCATCTCTACCTCTACCTCATCAGTGAATTCTAGAAAGGCCTTGACTAGTGTGTCCTCGTCTCTGGTTTGTGCTTGAAAGGAGGTTGATCTTTTATTTCATGCTCTGGTACACAGCAGTGTCAAACACTTGAAACTTAACCCAGTTTCTGCCATATTTTAGGTTTCTTCATTCGACCGTTTTACAAGATGATGCTGGGAAAGCAAATAACTCTGAATGACATGGAGTCTGTGGTAAGTAGATACAGAGCTTTATGATGCTTGCTGGACAGGCGCTGACAGCCGCATTTGCAAACCCAGCTCTGGTTGTGGGTGTTGTGTGTTGTCATTCGGTGTGAACGGAGAGGATTTAAATATTTATGGAAGTGCTTGATCTTTCTAATTTAGATAATAAAGTATTGTTTGTTTCCTAGCATTATTAGAGTAGACACTCCCAAATCTACCTCTGTTTACCCTACCAAGACTTGAATGAACAAATGAAAGCCAACAGACATCTAGAAACCTTGCTGTAGCCTGGACTTGCCACCCCAAACCGCTGATACTGAACATTTAGAGATTCATCCACTATCCTTCTGGTTTCTAACCTCGTAAAAATGGTAGAGGCAAGGTCAAAACAAAAGGAGGAACACCACTAAACATGCAGATGTGCAGAACAAGAGTCACACAGGGGGAATGCTAAGAACCCCTCCAAACAGCAATGCTGGATGTTCCTGTCACCCTGCTGTCAGTATTTTACCTGGACAGACCCACAGTCATGTAGAAAGGATTTTCTTGTTGTGTTTTAGCTGAGGTGTGGGGAGGGAGTCAGCTGTGGGGCTTGAACTCAGAGCCTGGGTGCTAACCCTGAGTTCTTGTGCTCAAGGCTAGCGCTCTACCACTTTGAGCCACAGCGTCACTTCCTAGAAGGGATTTTCTACACAAACACAAACAAATCTTGGCCTTCCTTCCACAAGATACTTGCGCGTCTGGTTTTTTTAATATACGTGTACTCCACCATCATCCTCCGGGTGTGCGGGTGTCGCCTTGTGTGGTCACACACGCACGGGGCCATCAGAAACATCCTGGTCCACCTGGGCAATTTGTAACTCTGCTTCAAGTTCTGCCGCATAAGCCAGAAAGCTCTGGGCATCTCTTGTCCTTGCTGGAATGTGGACAGTGTTGTGAATGCCCGGATGTATGAGCCAGGTCCTCGGCACCGCCCAGCATTGATATGTTCTTTCTGCTCATCCTGGTAGGAAGGAGAGATGGCAGGCAGTGCTCCTCAGAGACCGTTCTGTGGGCAGTTGTGGCTGGCCTGGTGACCCCAGCCTTGGTGCCAGCCTCACTTTCCAGTGTTCCTCCTTTGTGTATTATCCCGGCTTTTATTGCTGTGTTGTAATTCAGCAAGGAGGATAGAAATCGCTTTTTGTTGTGGTTTTTTGTTGTTTAATTTCGAGACCGAGTCTTGCTATGTATCCCAAGCTGGCCTCCAACTTGCAACCTTCCTGTCTCAGCCTCCTGAGCACTGGGATTACAAGTGTGTGTCACCCCATGCAGCTCTAAAAATTACTCTTAAGGTCTAATTTTTTGTGTGTGTGCCGGTCCTAGGGCTTGTGAAACTCAGGGCCTAGGCACTGCCTTTGAGCTTTTTTTGCTCGGTGATAGCATTCTACCACTTGAGCCACTTCTAGGTTTTTGATGATTAATTAGAGATAAAGTCTCATAGACTTTCCCATCGAAGCTAGCTTTAAATTGTGATTCTCAGATCTCAGCCTCCTGAGTTGCTAGGATTTCAGGCATGAGCCACTGGCACTCAGCTTAAAGGCTAATTTTATGATAGCTGTTGACAGTGTTTTAAATACAGCATGTGGTTTTTTTTTGTTTTTTTGTGTTTTGTTTTGTCCTTTCTAGAGTCTGTCATGTTCCCGGCAGCAGAGACCCTGGGTCTAAGCAAAGAGTTGCCTGCAGATGTCCCCATGTCTCCTTCCCTGATTTCTGGAACTGAAACAGTATCTTAAGTGTTTAGGTTAACGGGCAAAGAACACTGAGAGTACAGGAAACTTAAAGCTGCCAGTGTGACTTGAATGCCCTCTATCCATCCCATTTTCCTGTGTCTTCTCAGTCTTCCCTGTGGGAAAAGTCTGCTGGTCAGTGTGTGTTAAGTTCTGTAGACTGGACAGTCAGCCAGCCCTGACCACTCTCCACATAAAGGGTATTCCACCACACTTCACAGACCAAGAGACCCCCTCCCCCCACACACACACATACACACACACACACACACACACACACACACACAAATCCTGTCACTCCAGGGACTCCTAGTAAGGATGAGAGGGATTGGAATAGAGCAGTAACCATCATGAGTAATGTAATCCTGGAGCATTCTGTATGGAATTATGTTAGAATAATTTCACTATTTAAGAGGCAAACAAGTTTGCATTTGGAATGAATGCTTAACGTTGCTTTCTGTGTCATTGCCATAGGACAGTGAATACTACAACTCTTTGAAGTGGATCTTAGAAAACGATCCTACTGAACTGGACCTCATGTTCTGCATAGATGAAGAGAACTTTGGGCAGGTATGTGTAGCCAGCCCCTAGAGTTCTTCGACTTTCTTTTTTTTTTTTTTTTTTTTTGTTGGTTGTGGGGCTTGAACTCTGGGCCTGGGTGCTGGCCCTCAGCTCTTCAGCTCAAGGCGAGCGCTCTACCACTTGAGCTACAGCGCCACTTCCGAGTTCTTCAACTTTCAAAGAGCCTTTTCTTTCCCGTAGATTGTGGTACAGTTGTCCTGGACAATTAGAAACAGCTATGGGAGCTGTCCCTGTGCTCTTTAGCTCAAGGCGAGCGCTCTACCGCTTGAGCCACAGCGCCACTTCTGGTTTTCGAGTGGTTTATTGGAGATAAGATTCTCACGGACTTTCCTGCCAGGGCTGGCTTTGAACCGCAATCCTCAGATCTCAGTCTCCTGAGTAGCTAGGATTACAGGCGTGAGCCACCGGCGCCTGGGTTATGGGAGCTTTTGATAATACAGTGGTCCCTCACTATATTGAGGTTCACCTATTGCAGCTTTACTGTATGGCATTTTTAAAAAAACACACACACATATCTAATTCTGTATCACAGAGTTTTCACTGTATCGTGGGATTTTGCAGCATATAGGTATTTATATAATTATGATTTTAATTGTTTTTGCCTAAAAAAAATTAGAATACAAAAATGTTAATTAAGGTGAATAAGAGACTAGGAGAGGTTTATAAGAGAGTGGGAAAGGTTTGTATAGCCTTGCAATATATATAAATAATAAAGTGAATATAACACTGCTACCGCATGGATTTTCACCTATCAGGAGGTCCCTGCAATAGGGGCAGGGATTGCTGTCATTGTCGGTTTGTGGTAGCCGCACCTAATTGTCATGCCCAAAAGCCAAGTCTCAGTGACATCCTGTTCCTCTCTCCCAGCCACTTTAGTACATATTCCAGGCTGGTGAGACCTAGCATTCCTCTAGACCCAAACCAACCTGGATGTGGTGATGTGTTTGAGGTACTTCAGAACTGAGGTACTTCAGAAACTAGAGCGATAGTCGATTAGCATTGTCAACATGTGACCACAATGCTAATATTTCCAGGCGCATCGGGGCTTTTCCTTCTGTGATGGTGCTGTGGTCTTGGGCATGTTGGTCTGATGTGCATGGTTTTTATGTTTGTTTGGTTTTTTTTTTCTGTCATCCTTCTTGCTTTAGTTACACTCTTACCTCTGCCCTAACCACCTCCATTCAGTCTGGGTTCAGCATAAAAGTCAGTTTCCACACTAACATTGCCTGCTGAGTTTTCATCAGCCATCCTGAGGGTCCAAAAGTATTTGCCTAAGTCTCAAATTGCCCTAGTCACAATTCTTCTTGGAAGTTACCCAAAAGATGCTGTTTCTCTTGGGGTTTTTTTGGTTTGGTTTGGTTTGTTGTTCTTTTTTTTTGTTTTGTTTTGTTTTGTTTTGTTTTCTCTTGGATTTTGGTTTTCTCTTTGGTCTTTGCACCAAAGCACCAGATATTTCCCATCACTAAGACCAAATCCACATACACTTGAAATTAATTAGGTCTTAAAGCCCGTATTAAGGGTTGCCATATAGAAAAATGCACTAGACTTACCCTTTACTGCTCCAAAGGAGTATATCCCCCTATTGAAAAGTGCATTTGCAGCTTAATCTTAGGTTAGAGAAATTAGGTTGGAGAAATCTTCTCAGCAAGGAAACCCTGGACAACTAGATGTAAAGTTAAGAAGTATTACAGGCTGGTGAGACCTAGCAATCCTCTAGACCCAACCTAGATGTGGTGACTTGGTTGTAGAATTGAGGTTCTTCAGAAATTAGGGCAACAGCATTGATATCACATGACCACAATGCTAATATTCCCAGGCACATTGGAGCTTTTCCTTCTGTTATGGTGCTGTGGTCATGGGCAGGTTGGTCTGGTGTGCATGGTTTTTTGTTTGTTTGTTTTTGGTGATACTGGAGTTTGAACTTAGGGCCTCATGCTTGTTTAGGCAGGTGCTCTACCACTTGAGCCATACCCTGATCCCTTTTTGTTTTCAGATAGTATCTTACTTTTATCTGGGCCTTCAAGGACAACCATCCTCCTACTTACAATGTAGCTGGGAAAATAGGTGTATATTACTGTGCTCAACTTTTTATTGTTGAAATGCTGTCTTTTGATTTTTTGCCCAAGCTGGCCTTGAACCTCTTGATCTTAACTTCCTGAGTAGTCAGGATTATGGGCATGAGCCACCATGCCTAGCTTAAGTAGACTTCCAGTGGCAATTCTGCCTTTCATTGTAGTTCATCCTAATTATTCATGAAAAACATACCCAAACCATTTACTGGTGTAGACTCTTCTGACTTTGGAGAATCAGGGAGAGCCATACAGAAATTAACACCCATGGTGACAAAAGTGGGGAGAAGAGGTACTCCATTGGTGAAATGATCGCCTTCCCTTTTAAGAGCGAACATGATGGTCACATGATCAAGTATCTGCTTTGCTAGCATGCAGATGAAGCAGCCATGTGTGGAACTCTTCTATTCAGGCCATCCCTGAGCCTTGTGTATTGAACCTCACAGATACGTCTCATGTCTCTTCTCCTGTTCTACACCCCCAGGTCCAGCCACCATCATCTCGCATAGACTCTTAACTGGTTTTTCATTTGTCATGGCAGAGTAAACTTTTCAGAGGGTAAAAATGATCATTTCTGTGCCTGAAACCTTTAGGGCCTTCCTGGAGGAGATGCCTCAGATCCTAGTGTATCTCTTGAGGCTCCCCTCTGGCCTACTCTACTATACCTTTAACAAACACGTTTTATACCCCAGGCCTGCCTGCCTACTCCTTGCACTCTTTCTTGGCCTTCTGGAACTCACTGAGCTCTTTCTTGCCTCGGGGCCTTTGTTCATGCCCTTCATTCTGTTGGGAAGATATTCTCTCCTGCTTTCTCTAGAAAACCAGCCCATGACCACACAGACCCTATGCTTCCAAGTGGCATATTCCACAGCAGCCTTTGTTTATAATTATCTCAGTACATGCTTAATGTGTCTCCCTCACTCTTCATCTGGGTGACTATCATAGGACCTGGCACATATTAGGCACCCAAATACAGTTGTTGGACCCATAGTGTGAGTATTGGCAGCATACCCGCCCCAAGCCACTTGCTTCCTGCAGCTCTCTGCAGGACTGTTGGCCAAGCTGTACCAGAGCAGATGCAGAAAGGGGTCTAAAACAGTTGTTTTGGATAGAGCTCCCAATAATTCATCTGGAAATCCTTCCCCACAGGTTTGGCTCTATAATACAGCCTAGAATGTGGACAAGACCGCCAGGAGTCGACCAAAATGTCCTCATGGCTATCTCTCAGAGTATAGGGACCCATTTTCCTATACCTCTGGTTTGTTCCTCTTTTTTTTTTTTTCTTCAGAATTTCTACAGTAAGAATAAGCATTTTTCCATGTGCTAGTTATTTTTTTATGTATAATAGTATTAAGCTAGGTCCTGGCACAAGGAAGAAAGTAGGGAATTGGGCCTAGCAGCCTCCCTTCATGATCAAGGGTTGCTGACATGTAGAAAGCAGAAAGACCTGCCACTAGCGAATAAATCTCTTATGCCTGGCTTTCAAATCTTGTTTGTTTGTACGTCCTGTATGTTGCCTCTTAGAAACAAATCACATGCATCATTTTTCACAGCTATAAATTTCTGTTTTCAGTAACAAGATGCATTAGGTTTATATCTCCGTAGTCTTGATGGATGTCCTCTGCTCTTTTCTCTGTTAAACATATTCGATTTCTTGATCAATGAAGAGCGGATGAAACATGAGGCTGTCTTCCATTCATCCTGATGTATGAGGAGTAACAATTAAAACACACAAATAGCCAAAAATAATCTGCCTCTAATGGTAGCATCTTTAAATGTGTAACATCTTAACAGTTTAAAAGCCTCATTAGACATTTGCAGGTACATATTGCCATTTGTTGGAAAATAGTTTTAAATAAATTTTGCTTGCCTTTTATGGTGAGATGAGTCAATATGCAAAATAACTTTATGTGGGTGATTTTTTTTTCTTTTTGTAATTACAGACATATCAAGTGGATCTGAAGCCCAATGGGTCAGAAATAATGGTGACAAATGAAAACAAAAGGGAATATATTGAGTACGTACACAAATATTTACAACCTTTTTTCATCTAATAACAGACATATCCCATACCAAAACGATGCATGCATTCTATGGGCATGAGCTGATTGGTCAGTTTTCAGTATGAGGGGTTACTTTTAGGTTTAGGTTACTGGAAAGTTGAATTTGGGTGGAAAGTTAACCTTGTTTCCTGATGTCAGTGAGCTACCCAATAGAGCTGCAGAGGTAGGTGATAAAATGCACATTACTGAGTAACACAGCAATTTTTTCTGGGCAGTATACAGGTGCCCATCAAATGTTTAAAATCACTCCAGTGGTACAAAGCATCAATCATCAGTGTGGAAAATCTAAGAACTACCAGAGATGAAGTATTCTGTCTCCACAGTGAAAAACTAGGAAAATGTTTAGGAAGAACTCAGTATGAGCAAAAACAATGAATTGCTTTTGCTATTTGTAGTGTGTGTGTGTGTGTGTGTGTGTGTGTGTGTGTGTGTGCGCGTGTGCATGTGCGTGTGCACACATGTGCTGGTACTAGACTTAAACTCAGAGCCTTGTGCTTTCTCTTAGGCTGGTGCTCTACTACTTGAGCCACAGCTCTCCTTCTGGCTTTTTGCTAGGTAATTGGAGATCAAAGTCTGACAAACTTTTCTACACTGGCTGGTTTTGAAGCACAATCCTCAGAACTCAACCATCCGAGTAGCTAAGACTACAGGCCTGAATCACCAGCACCCAGCTGATATTTGTAATTTTATTAATCCAGTCTCCTCTATTTGGTGGAAAAAATGTTGAGTCTTGATGAAAACCTGAACTTTTAAGTAAGCCTAGGTCTTCTTTCTTGATGAAGTACGTTGTATTTTTTTTTTCCTACTGGAGCTTGAGCTTTTGCTCAAATTTCCACTTAAGGCTGACTACCTCTTAAACCACACCTCCTCCACTTTGGCTTTTTTCTGGCTAATGGGAGGTGAGCATCTCAGACTTCTCTGCCTCAGCTGGCTTCAAACCACAATCCTCCTGAGTAGCTAGAATTAGAGGCATGAGCCACAGACACCGTTCTTGATCTCTTTATTTGGTTTAAACATGGCACTGGGCTCTGGTGCGGACTTCTGCTGCTCTCTCATCTCACCAGGATGTCCAGGATGAGGTCAGCACAGCAGGATTTGGTTCCTGCGTCCAGGATTCTGCGCAGCAGTGGGCTTCAGCACTGCCTGAGTGCATTTACTTTCAGCTCTCCATTTCAACAAGCTGGGTCCCCTCCTTCTCGTTTGGAAGGGGTCAGAGGGCTTGAATTCAGAGAACTGCCGGGTGTCTCAGCCCCTTTTAAGTGATCTTCAAAGAAGAGCCTACTGTCCATCCTCATTACGAGGAAATTGCAAGCATTGTAGTCTCTCCCTGGAGAGACACCCCTAGACAAGAGTAGAGCTATGACCAAAGATCTTTCCACTAAGAAGAAACTAGTAGTGAGATAGTCCAGTGCCTCCCTGCACACACTAATTGGTACACTTGGTTTGACCTTGGGTTCTGGTGAAAGTGTGAGCAGTGAACAGTTTTGTAAAACCCTCTGGCATCTCAGGCAGGCCGGGAGGATTTAACATATGCGACAGGTGTTACGCATTACCTTTCGCGACTAATTATTTTAAGATTCAAATTCATTGGGGATTAGGGCCAAGCAAGGTTTTCGTTAGCTTTGCTGAGAAAACCGTGATTGAAATGTTCCACTGTTCACTGCCCCTTCTGGTACCAGAACAGGATTGGACAGATGGCTACAGTCCAGCCCTGAAGAACCGCTGGCACTGGGGAGAGGATGGGGGGGGGGGGGGGGGGGGGAAGTTGCCCTTCTCCAGCTGACGTCATGGCACCACCTAGGAAGTGTGTGATCCTTGTGGGGTCAAAACAAAACACGTAGATGCAATCCAGAGTGGACTCCCCCTGTAGTTGTTTATGCTCTGCACGAAATACTGCCACCAGGAAAATAGTTTCAGTGAATCTGAAAATAGTTCCTGTTCATCCTTTAAAGCCTTGGAATCTTGGAGTCCGGGGGAGGCTGGGAAGGGATGGGAAGGGGAAACAAAGGAGGAGGCTACAATGCTTGATAAGAAATGTACTCATTATCTTGCCCATGTAATTGTAACCCCTCTGTACAGTATTTTCACAATAAAAAAAATTAAAAATAAAGTATTGGAATCTTAAAAGTATTAGTGTGCAGCTGGGTGCCAGTGGCTCACGCCTGTAACCCTAGCTACTCAGGAGGCAGAGATCTGAGGATCATGGTTTGAAGCCAGCCTGGCAGGAAAATCCTTGAGACTCTTATCTCCAGTTAGCCACCAAAAAGCTAGAAGTGGAGGTGTGGCTGAAAGGGTAGAATGCTTGAGAAAAATGCTATGGGATGGTACCCTGGTCCTAAGTTCAAGCCCCAGTACCAGCACCAAAAACTAAACCAGCATTAGTGCAACTAATTCACAGTGTGGAGGATGCTCGTACGTTGGTATACATCCATGTGGGTGTGTGATTCACGCCTATATCATGCACACCACTTGTGTATTCAACCCCAGGACCTTTTCTCTTATCTTCCTGAAGTGATGGCTATAAAGCACAGTCATCCGTGGCTTGTTGAGGCCGGGAGATCACTTCTGCTCTTGAGAGCTTGGTGAGACTGGAGCTTTCTTTCCCATAGTGCTCCAGTGAGAATTCATGAGGGTTCGTGGAGCAGCAGGGGCACAGCAGTAGGCCCACCTCTGGTCTGGGTGTGGGTGTCTCTCCCCTCCCTCCCCTTCCCTGTGAGCAGCAGTCCCAGTTCTGAGGAGGGCGGTGCAGGCCGGGCTCTGAGGTGGTTATGATGCTGTTTTCTCCCACAGCCTCGTCATCCAGTGGAGATTTGTGAACCGGGTCCAGAAGCAAATGAATGCCTTCCTGGAGGTGAGGGACGCTGGAGGGGACAGGGTGGTAGTGGGGACACCGGGCGAATGCCAGCACCGTCCAGGTGGCCTTCTCCACCGCTCTCAAGGATCAGTGTTGGCTGACACACGGCCATTTTTTAAGTAATCTGTTGCTTTGCTCCTCTCATTTTAAAATTTGCCTTGGCTATTCTTACTGAGGATTTTACACACTTTAGGGGCCATCTAGAGCTGATCATCCGGGAGGGGGGAGGAGGAAGGAGGTAATACTGGTCCTGGGGCTTGACTCAGGGCCTCATACTCTCCTTTAGGTTTTTCACGCCAGGCTAGTGTTCTTATCACACACCTCCAATTCTGACCATTTGCTGGCTAATTGAGATCAGTCTCTTGAATGTGTCTGTCCAGGTTGGCATCCAACTGCAGTCCTCAGATCTCTGCCTCCTGAGTAGCGAGGATTATAGGCCTGAAACACCAGCACCCAGCAAGAGGCTTACTCTTTTTGTGTACTGCTGCCCCAAAGCTCTCCAGCATAGCTCCATGGAGGGCACTGATTTTGTGTTCAGTGTGCATTCCCTTTGTGGAGGAGTGAAGCAGGCTCCTCCCACATGCACCTGTTCCCCGCTAGGGACAGGACTCATGTTCCCAGCAAGGCATTTTCTTAGGTCCCTTCTGATTCCCATTCAAATGATAGAGGTCTGGCACTTCTAAACAATGCTTCGCATTGACCAGCTTTGAAATTCCTTTTAGAATCTGATCTTAAGCTGGGAGTTGATGGCCCATGCCTGTAATCCTAACTACTCAGGAGGCTGAGCTCTGAGGACTGAGGTTTGAAGCCATCCCAAGCAGGCAAATCTGAGAAACACTTTTCTCCAATTAACTAGTAAAAGACAGGAAGTGAGGAGGGGTGTGGCTTAAGGGAAAATGTGCCAGCCTCGAGAGGAAAAAGAAAGCTAAGCAACAGTGCAAGCCCCTGAGTTTAAGCCCCAGGATCAGCCCATACACAAAGCAAAATAAATTCTGATCATGCATATTAAGAATGCAAAAAATAACTGATAAAGGTCTCAACCCCACATTGTTTACTTGTGGCAAACTGTGCAGAGATGCTCTTAAGCTGACCTGTAGCTCACTGAGCTACTCAATAAAGAAAAGCCTCAGCCAAACAGGGCAAAGGGACAGATAATCTGAGAACATATTCCATGCCTTACTTAGATGGGAAGCTACAGGAGTGATAGCCCTGGCCCCTAGCAGTCCTCACTTCCAGGAACCTGACTTCAGATCACCGGCACTGTGAACCTCCTCATTCATCCTGGGTGGCTCCCTCGTTAGTGACAGCCCCTTGACAGAGTCCGACTGGCTGTTCCCCCATTCCCTCTCACTGGCTCACGCCGCCTCCTCTGTGCCTTCAACACATTATTTTTAAACCTGTCTTTTGCACATCTGTGGCCTTGCATTTTAGGACGCACTGACTCAACGGTGTGTCATGGATGGCTTTTGTAATTCACTTGCCTACCCCATCCCATATTACCCTAGCGTTTCCAAAACTGCTCAGGTACTCACACCTGCTACATCCTCTGATTTTTTTTTTAAGTTCTTTGTATTGTGACTCTGCTGTTTTTATTGGAGCTGTGGTTACTTGTTACTGTCACCAATGCATGAGTCACCAGGAAAAGATGGGGATTTTGGGGGGTTTGGGTTTTTTTCTTTTTCTGGTAGAGAGGCTGCAACTTTTGACCTCTTCCAAGATAAAAATATCCATAATGATTCTCTTCTCCTCCTTTCAGGGATTCACAGAACTGCTTCCTATCGACTTGATTAAAATTTTTGATGAAAATGAGCTGGAGGTTTGTATTATAATTTTTGTTTCTGTTTTTACAAAAAGAAGATTTTTTTAAGTTTCTCTTATTCCCTTGCAAATGATATTGTAACGTTCTCTAGTCTGTAATGGCCTCCTGGGTGCATTTAGATGAAATCTATTCAGTGTCTGGCATGAGCCTTGCTCTCTGATAGCAAAAGGATCAACCCCCTGTTTTCTTGCTGGTAAGGGGGCTGCTGTGGAACAGACCTGCTAAGCCAAGTCAGGTCATGGCCCTGTGCAGCTAGAGGAAGATGGCTATGTCAGGTGGCGTGTAGGTATACAGCAGCCCTCTAGGATAGCAGCATGCTACTTGTAAGAACTGCTGGCTTCCTGTCCTTCATGGCCTCCCCAGCCCCACCACGGAGGAGTTGTCTCTATTAGGGGCTGTAGAACAGATGTGTCCTTGAACTTGAAGCAGTTTATATTTGATAAGGGAAAACATCAAAAGGCTCCTAGCGGGGCTGGGAAGGTGGCTCAGTGTTGGAGTGCTTGCCTTGCCTGTATGAGGCCCTGGGTTCCACTCCTCAGCTCCACATAAGCAGAAAAAGCTGCAAGTGGCGCTGTGGCTCAAGTGGTAGAGTGCTAACCTTGAGCTGAAGAGCTGAGGGACAGCGCCCAGGCCCCACAACCAACAACAACAACAAAAAGGCTCCTAGGTAATAGTACCAGAAGGCCATTCAATGATTGTCTAGCTCAGCTTCTTCATGTCTGTATGGAAAGAGAACAAGTTGAAAACCAAAGAGATACCTCTCCCTTTGTTATATTGAGAGACACAGGAGAAGGAAGGCGGTTATGTCTATCTACAAAGGTGATGGTCCTTCATCATTTGTCCAAACCACATCCAACAAAGCTCTGCTCATAGATAGATGTTTGGTGCTTCAAGATAAATGAGGTAGTAGAAATCACTGCGAGCTCTGTGTTTTGCAGATAGAGTCACTGAGGCAGGGAGAAGTAAGTGATATCATAAGTTGGTCCCAGTCGCTTGGGGTGCAGCTCCTTTGCAGTTTTACTCTAGTCCCTCTGCAGGAATATCATACTGGTTAATCTTCAGGGAACTTCCTTGATGGAGAGTTATAGGATAAGAAAAGCAAAGTCAAAGGATTAGTTACTGCCTTAGTGCTGTCTGGGCGGATGTAGCTCTGGATGGATGAAGTGATTGGTTGTCACTTGAATTGACTGGTCCGGGGAGATTAGTTCTTGCTGTCTTTAGTGCTGATTCTCTTATGGGTAGAGAGTTGCAAGGATTCTGCTATATGATCAACAGTCAGCATGATGTACATAATGCTCTTCGGGTACAAGGGGAGTTGGGGAAAGTGACCGATGTCTTCCGGTACAAAATGGTGCAGCCATGTATGAGGGTTAGGAACTGAACTGCCCTCAGAAACCTGTGCAGTCTCTATGAGGCAGTAGTACTGGGCAGGAAAGTTTAGATCCCGGATCCACCTGGCTTTCTTCCTTTGTCTAGCACTAAGGAAGGGTAATTTCTCTAAGGGTTTCTTCACTTTGCACATCCCACTTCATTTCTGTCTTCCCTACTTCCTCAACAGTTGCTGATGTGTGGCCTTGGAGACGTGGACGTGAACGATTGGAGACAGCATTCTATATACAAGAACGGCTACTGCCCAAATCACCCCGTGATCCAGTGGTTCTGGAAGGTAACCCAGACCCAGAGCCTGTGCCAGGTTCCTCCCTGAGCTAGGCAGGGGTCCACAGTGAAACCAGTCCTGGAAACTGGGGTGTCTTAGTACTTGCACTGTGGGAGAGAAAAGCAGCAGACTGAGCCTCTCCCTAACTTCATGTACAGCAAGACTGAAGAGAGGTTGATTTCTTCAAAAGCACTCTGTCCTTCCATGACCACTAGTGAAAGGGAGTTTTGTTGAGTGAGGTGGTTCTGATAAAGAGCTGGCCGGTTGGCGGCATGCAGGACCTGAGCCTCCACGGTGGAAATCAGAACTAGAACTTGCGCAAGGCATAATCTTTATACTTGCTGGGCTGACTTTTTCATGATGCCATTTCTGTGAAGAAATAACTTGCTCAACTCTTTTTATTGTTGTTATTATTAACTAACCCAAAAACCATTTTGAGCTTTATATCTCTTAACCAAAGATGCAGTGGAAATTTAGTTTACCGTCTTAGGTAAGTGTATCCTAAGGAAGGAAGCAATCTAGGAAATAGTTCATCTAAGGAAAGAGATGGTTAACTAACTTAAAAAAAAAAAAGTTTACCTCCACCAGGTATGGTTGCTCATAGCCATAATCCCAGTTATATAAGAGACAGAGATCAGAAGGAGTGCAATTCAAGATCAGCTCAGGCAAAAAGGTAGTGAGGCCCCATCTCAACAAATAGGCCAGGCAAAAGTAATATGCATCTGTCATCCCAGATCTGGGAGAGGGACAAGTAGGAGGATCACAGTGCCAGGTTGGTCCTGGGAAAAAACAAGAGACCCTATCTGAAAAATAAAGAAGGTGGCTGAAGAAACAGCTCGTGACACAGTGCCTGCCTAGCAAGCTCAAGGCCTGTAGTTCAAACCCTAGTATCACATACACACACACACACACACACACACACACACACACACACACACAAATCCCTCTGCATATTATTGATGTACAAAGAAATCATCTAACTTGGTATTCATATTTAAGTCTCAACACAAGCACAGGAGAAAGCAGTCTTTCAGTCCTAGATCATGTCTCACTTAGCTTTGATTTTGGAATTTTTTTATAGTTCACATAACAGTTGCAATAAAATCAACTCAATTCCTATAATAATTCAAAGCTATAAGACATCCAGATTGTCTTAGAGTCCCAATTTGCCTCAGATTTCCTTCTTTTTCTAAGATGTTGTCTTTAGAGGCCTCGTCTATGTCTGAAGCCCCATCTCATCTTGGTTCCCCTGGCGTAGACACTTCTGGAACACCACATAATTATGACTGACTTAGGAGGCTGGCTGACCTCAGACACAGAAACCTGAGCTTGAAGCCATCAGAGAGTTTGCTTTTTATATCACTTATTTTGGCCAATTGGCACAAGAAGAAAGACAGGGGTGATCATCCCCTTGCTAAGATTAGAGGCTGAGATTGTGACTGCTAAAATTTAAAAAAAAAAAATAGAAGTCAGAGTCAACTGTCTAGATAGCTAGGTCTTACGGGGTAATCTAAGTGAGATGTGTTCCAGCAGCCTGTGCTGTGCTATGTGTCGCGTGGGGACATAACCACCTCTGTCTCCGCTCACAGGCTGTGCTGCTGATGGATGCTGAGAAGCGGATCCGGCTGCTGCAGTTTGTCACAGGGACCTCTCGAGTCCCCATGAATGGATTTGCCGAACTTTATGGTGAGCAGCATGCCTCTAACTCCCTTCTCCTGCAAAGACCTAGCCAGGAGTTCTTGGGGGACTCTTGAGAGCTAACATGGGTGTGGTGTGATACCGGGAACCTCTCACAGGGTCCATCTTCCTCCAGGGATGTGGCACCTTGAAAAAGGACAATTTAAGGTGTCTCTCTCCTTCTTTTAGTTAAGATTTGCATGTATCTGTTAAAGCTGTATTGCTGGATGCCAGTAGCTCACACCTGTAATTCTAGCTACTCAGAAGGCTGCAATCTCATGATCACAATGTGAAACCAGCCTAGGCAGGAAAGTCCATGAGACTTTCCAATGAGCTAGCAAAAAGCCGGAGACGAGCTGTGGCTTAAGTGGTAGAGCACCAGCCTTGTAAGAGAGAACACCTGTACCCTGGGTTCAAGCCCCAGGACCAGCACAAAAACAACACAAATGCTATGTTTGTAGGTAGCATTTATAAACAGACTTTAAAGGACTGGAACTCTACCAACTGCAAAAGGAGGGTGCAGCATCTGCCCTTGCAGATCTTGCAGATGTTGCGACCTGGTTAGGTTCCAACTCCCCGGCAGGTAGAATCTATGCCGACCTGGTGTTCCCCGCCCCAGCCTGCCCTGATGTCCTGGCCGCCAGGCCTTTCCCCTTCAGCAGTTCTCATCGCAGTGTTGTCCCCCACCATAGCCTTGATGACGGGTCTTTTTCTCTTCTGTTCAGGTTCCAATGGACCTCAGCTGTTTACAATAGAGCAGTGGGGCAGTCCTGAAAAACTGCCCAGAGCTCACACCTGGTGAGTGACCAGCCCTATGAGTAGGCCAGTGGTGTCTCCAATGCCCAGCTGTGTACAGGGATACAGATGCTGCCTGTCTCTCCATCTGTAGCTCACGACTGAAAGGACAGTGATATGGGATGGAAAATGAGCAGGCAGATCAATGCTAACAAGCCTTAAACCATCAGTGGACCCGGGGTGTTGCATGTGAATGGATAAAGGGCCCCGTGCTCTCAGGCCTCCCCTAAACCAGCTTCTTCCCTTCACGGGTCTGAGAATCACTGTTCACCGGTGTTGGGTTTTCAGTCACTCCTTAAGGTGGCTGTTTAGAACCTGGGATTAAAAATTCCCTATAGAAACATTGGCTTTTAAAAGGGCTCACACACCTGTCAGTAAGCCAGAATTTTCTAGAACTCAGTAATCGTGTGATTGTGCTAAAGGAATGGGTGATATCCACACATCATAGCAAGGCCTGGAGTGCAGCACCCCAAGAAGGCTCTGTCAGGGGAGGAGGCCACCTCCGTATTTTCTTGGACGATTCTGCAGAGGCAGACAGGGCCCAGTGGGTTTTTAATGCAGTTTCAGCAAACGCTCACCAGTCCAAACTCGAAGTCCGTGTGTAGGCTTTTCTGCCCAAGCTTTTCCCTGTTGTTCCTTAAGAAGCAGTGTGACTTTCTAGGGGCAATGAGGGTGCCAGAGCTTGTGTCTGCCACAACCAACTGGTTGCTACACCTATAATCTTAGCTACTCAGGAGGCTGAGATCTGCGGATCAGGGTTTGAAGCCAACCCAGGCAGAAAAATCTTGAGAGACTCCAGCAAAGAGCTGGAAGTGAAGATGTGGCTCAAGTGATAGAAGTAAACACTCAAATCTGGCACTCTCATGATACTTTTGAAACTAAAGAAAAGCACAAGGCCCCAAGTTAAAGCCCTAGTACTGGCACAGAAAGAGTACTCAGATGTGGAGACTCTCTATCTACTTCTCATTCTTGAAGCATGAGTCCTTTGTGCTCCATGCTTTGGCAGTTACCTTGCTTTTATGGTCTCCTTCCTTCCAGATGGATTCTAAGCTCCACATCTGACTACAGCAGATGCTTCATGGATGATTAGAATATTCATTTTGGGGTGGGGAAGGTGGCTCAGTGGTAGAATGCTTGCCTTGCATGCATGAGGTCCTAGGTTCAATTCCTCAGCACCAAATAAGCAATTAGAGCCAGAACTGGCGCTGTGGCTCAAGTGGTAGATCACTAGCCTTAAGCTGAAGAGCTGAGGGACAGTGCCCAGGCCCAGAGTTCAGGCCCCACAACCAACCAAAAAGAAGGAGAAGAAGAAGAAAGAAAAATATTCATTTCTCTTGTAGATTTGTCCGTACCTGTCTGGTATGGACAGTTTCATAGCTAGAATATATTTTTTAGTTATCAAATTGTGGCTGTGAAGCTGGGCATGGTGACATATGCCAGAGATCCCAGCTATCCCAGAGGATTAGGTAGGAGGATCAAGGACCAAATTGGAGACTGAGATAGAAGGATTGTGGGGACACCCTAACTAAAGAGGCAGCAAAACCCACTCTGAAAAAATAAGTTGAGCATGGTGGCACAGGCCACCAAAGGTATAGCTTGGAGACTCAAGGCCTGAGGTCAGCCTGCACAATAAGCAAAACCCTATCTGAAAACAAAAAGCCACAAAACCAAAAAACAGTGAAAGCACAAAAGCCTTGACATGTGGCTGAAGGGTTAGAACATTTGAACAGAAAGAGGTCCTGACACCAAAGCCTGGCACAAAGGAAAGTTTAAATGTACGTATACATAAACACACACATCTTTTTTGTTCTATTGTACCAATACAGAACACCCATTAGCGAAATCTAGGAAAGGTTGTTGTGCCTACAAACGTTGGCCGTTCACCTAAACTTTGTTTCGTTTGCAGCTTTAATCGCCTTGACTTACCTCCATACGAAACCTTCGAAGATTTACGTGAGAAACTTCTCATGGCCGTGGAAAATGCCCAAGGATTTGAAGGGGTGGATTAAAGTCTCCTGCCTCACGGGGGCGCCGTCCATCCAGCAAGTTCCGCATGCACTTTTGCATTTGTCTAACAAGACTTTTGCAGGGCCGGTGGCAAGAGAGCAGCTGCACAGCCTGGCTACTGGAGCCTAGCCTTCTCCAGGCCACGCCCAAGTTCCACCGCAGGAACCAGACCAGGCTCCAGTTCCTGCCTCTTCCACCACCAACTCTCAACTGGTTGACCTGTACACTAATTACATTTCAGGAGGATGTGTTCTATTTATGTTGTGCCTCTGCAGGCAAGCCCTTAATAAATATTTTGCATACTTTCTAATGACAATGAATGGAATTAATCACTCTACAGGTATAGTATTTCAGCTCATGTTTACTTTTTAAAACTGATTTAGACCAAGTCTCAGATTTTATTTCATTACAATTAAAGATGTCTCATGTACTTGGAAAAGTGACCCTATTTGTTTTTGTATTTGGATTTCATACAGGCTCCATGTCAGTGACATTTTTTTAAGTACTTTGACAGGCCCACCCTCTTAGAAACAGAAGACTAATTTTTGTCCCTTCTAAAGACGAGTACTTTGAGAGAATTTCAAATATAACATTCAGCATAGTGATGATTTCGTTTTCCATAGTCACAATGAAAATAAACTGGATATTACTTTTTTTTGGTACAAATTTAGGTAATAGCTGACAGGCTGAGATGTAACATAGCATGATATATTTGTGTCAACCTGAAAGGAATCACACCACCATTCCTTAGAAGCAATGGGGTGTGCTAGCGCATACTGGAGACAGGGTTGGAGAAAAGTCCTTAGCCCTTCCTGTTGTTGTACAGCCATCCTTTTATTCTATTTTCTTCTTTTCTGTTTGTAATAGAATGAAACCCACCACTGCTTGGTTCAAAAACCTGTGGGAGCCAGATGCATCTAATCTCTTATCTCTTGTGTGTTCCTTATCGGTAGCTCAGTAGCCTGCTCTTAGGCACTAACTGCACCAAATCTGAAGGCACTGGATATAGTACATGGAGGTCCTATCTGGTTTGTTTTGTTTATCATAAATGTTAAACGTGAGTTTTTCTTAACTTGCACACATCTTTCCAGTGCAATATCTATCCTTTGTGAACTTGGCTGTGAGTGTATAAAAACTCAGAGGTGAAGCTGGGCCTACAGATGCTGTGCTGCCCAATGTTTTGCAGTTTCTACCGGACTTACAAGTATCTATTTACTATCCACTTAACCGAACTATGTTCTGTATGACCTGTTGCATGCTTCAGTGCCGTGTACTGTCTGAGTTGTGTCTATCGTAAAAGTGGCCGAGAAGACACCGTGTGATCCACTGTGGTCAAGTTGTTCAGCCAGCTGTAGCCAAAAAATTCAGGGTTGTCTGGGCAGTTGGGGTCATCTCCATTGCAGAGTCGTGTCATGTTTTGGGACTGGGTGTGAGATTGGTCACCCCAAGGTCTTAACTGATGCTGTACTAGATGTGGTCATGCCATTCAGGAGCACGAAGAACCTCTGGTGTCAGGAGTTGCCTGTATTTATGCAACTCTGGGTGTTACATGAGAAGCCCTAGAAGGTTGTAGTTATAAATAAGTTGTCTGAGGGAATGCAGAGGTCTGAGGTTCTAAAAGAAGGTGGATTCTGACAGAGCTCCTCTTCAAGGTGGTTTTTAAATATCTAACCATGATCAGACAACTTAGGTATTAATTATAAAAAAAAAATAATGTCACTCATTGTTTTTGTCTCTTGGTGGCATTTCCCCCTGCAGTTGACAATGGCAAGCAAAACGTTTTAAGACCACCTTTTTGGTAAGCTTCACAAGTGTCTGTTTCAGAGCCCTGCCTGAGAGAGCAGTAGGTTTTGGTGGGTTTTGTAATTAAAGAAGGAGAAATAAGATGCTAGTCTGAGAACTGGGATTCTTCTGTCATTTTGTAAGCTCTGTATTTTCTTTCCAAAAAAAAGTCAGATTATTCACTAAATGCAAATTAGGCCAAACATCAGAAGTATGAAAAAGGAAAGCTTCTGATCATCTCAACAGCCGAATGGGAAAGGAGCCCTTGAAGGCAGCAAACGTGAGGGACACTTCAGATCATCCGTCCCTTACTCATAGCTGATTGGAACAAAAACTACAACTAGATTCGTGGAGGGTTTTGGTTCGCCAGTCTTCAACAGTTTGTGAAGTTTCACTCTGCCTGAAATGCTGTGTGTTTTGTCTCCAAATCTGATGCCCACTTTTTGGTCGTCTGGGTGACACCTCTGCTTGCGGCCAGGCTTAGTTTGTTGTCGCCGGCTGGAGCCCTTCTGCATGCCCCTCAGCACTCTTCCCTTCTTTCTGTTGCCTGGTTCTGTTACCCACTGCAGTCCCAGTTCTCTGGCTTCCTGAGCAGCGGCGGTCATGCAGGCCTTTTACCAGAAGCCAAATGGTAGATGCAGCCCTCGGGGGATGTGCACAAGGGCAGAGCATCACTGGCTGCTCCAAGCCTCGGGTGTTTCTGTGCCTGCTCCCTTCCTGCTCTCTGGGTGACTTTGGATTAACTTCAGCAGCATGTTGCTTCCTCCTCTCAGCCTCTGCAGCAAAGGAGGAATCCTCCATTTGTCTCTTTGAAATATTAGGCCTCAATGTGCTTTCTTTATCTAGCTAGAACATCTACTTTTACTTTTTTGGAAACAGCAGTCCTTTAGTGTTTGCTTTTTTGGGGGGGTGGTTGGTGCATTTGTTTTTTTTTTTTTTTTTTTAGTAGCCAGACCTCTTAACAACCACGAGAACCAGATTCGTTTATTATCTTGCCTCCAAGGCTCTTGGGTAGATGACATCAGACATTCCTAATTTCAGATGGCAAATGATACCTAAAGTGACTTGGCAGAGATTGTTCCTCCCACCTGAAGGACCCAGTGGCATAGTCTGAGAAATGGTGAGCAAAATACTTGAACCACTCTCAGTATTTCACGGGTACCTTTGCTCTTGCCAGATCCCAGTTTGCTCTCTGGAAAGCCAAGTTCCTGTCCAGCAAATTCTAGTTGTGCTAAGATCTACCAGTTTACCAATTGGATCTTGTATTTTCCTAATTGTCTTGTATCTCCCCTCTGAAATTGTAAAGGCTTTGAGCAAAGAGAGCCTGGGTTCATCCGCTGCCTGGCTCCGCCCCGCTGGGCTGGCTCTCCTCTCTCATCATCAGCCTCAGCACCCCTGAGGCGATGCTGTCTGATGTCATTTTCTACCTGGCCACTAGGGGTGCTGCTGTGCAGGGTCACTGCCTACCCCGGCTGCCTGTCTCAATCCCCAGAAAATCGCACACTACCTCTGTCTTCTTCAGGCATTGGGGTACATCCTAACTCATGTCGAAACTGCCAATTTTAGGACTGAGTTGTGTTGTGGGGGGGGGCGGGGACTTACAAACTCCACTTTGTACTTTAGCTTTTAAAACTGGGGAGAAAAATGTGATATACTTTGGACCACTTTTTTAATTTATATAAGCCTTAATGAACAGTGTATATATTACACTTGTATATGGACACTCTACTCCAGAGTGGTTTTGGTGTGTCAGAGAAAATGCTGTAGCATTAGGACATGAGCCTGTGTACTGTTTGTAGAAAAGGCATAGTTTTCTGTTGGTGTGATACTTTCCAAGAAAACACGGCATTCAATGTCTTCTCCTTTGTTAAAAGCTGTTACACTCAAAGCAGTGCATGTTTAAAGTGCATGTCCCTTTGTTGGTTGCTTTTGTCTGTAAGGAGTAATGTAGGAACCTCAGGACATCGCTGTTGGTGCCTGACCTCTCATGTACTGCATTCTTGACCTTCTGTCTTCTTTCTTGTGACCATAACCTGTGTCAACAAATGTCTGTTCCTGTGTAAGTTCCTCTGCCCCTCGTATTGACTAATTTCACCTAAATCGTCAACAGTTTCCTTCATGTTAATTCTGGGTGACTCTGTTCTTCCTTTATGACTCTGTATGAAACACGAATACATATATACATATGTATGCTGTCCAAATATACATGTATATATTTGTATAGCATTTTTACACCTTTATGGGCCATTTGGATTCAAAGGGAGTGAGAAGTTAGTTCCTTCTGCAGTTTTTTTCCAAGCTGTGTCCTTAAATATCCTGCTACTCCGAGCCTGAGAGAACCCTAGGAAGAGGATGTTAATTTGCTATCTTTTCTTAATTAATGATCTGTTATCAAACAAAACATGGGGGGAAAGTGACTTTTGAGGTGAAAAGTATTTCAAGCATTCCAAATGAATTCTCAGTGTTCAGTAACTTTCTACTCTAAACTCACCTCCTAAAGGAAGCCAACTACTATTTCTTACAATGGTCAAAACCAAACTACCTTCAGGGTTTGTTTGTTTTTTTAAGAAAATGTATGAATACTGCTCATTTTCACAATCCAAATAGCTTTAAAATGTGGTTGAATTTGATATACACAGGAAATGTTTTGGTGTAAGAACAAGTCCTTTTTGCTTTTCTTTCTTGAGGGAATCTAAAAGAGACATTGTAGCTTGTTTTCCTGATGGCAAAAAGAGTACTGTGACAAAAAAAAAAAAAAAGGATGAAGCTGTAAAGAAGTGATTCAACGTGTCAAATATTTAATAAAAAATTATGGAAGCTGGGTCACTTTTTTCTTTCTACATCAAGTATTATGGGTTGTCTGATTTGAAGCTCCTTCACAAAGATCTCATCTTAACTGTGGTAGGTGGCTGGAAGGCCTGCAAACACTTCAGGAATCAAGTCTTCCCAGAACACATGGCATGGCTTAAGCATATTGAGGGCATAAAGTGTGTCCTCATCCATCCGCCCATCTGTCTTTCTTATTAAACGAGAATTACTCATTCCATACAACACTTGTAAAATCTGTTCCTAGAAAGAGTTCACCTCTGGCTTTTACCTAGCCAACCTCAGAACTTGTGGAGACTTAATGGTGGCTCAAGAATGATGCCACCTGGTTCTCGGTGAGTTCTGAATAGCCCCACTTGGGTCAGGTCTCAAAACAGTGGTTGTCTGGGGGGGGGGTGGCAGGAGGAGAAGGCAGGGATGAACCTCTGAAACCCATAGAAAATTTCTCCTTCAAGACATCTGGGTAACAGGTAGACGAGCCAGCGCATCACTCTCTGGTGGAAGGCTGTGCCGGTCTCCTGCTGTAGAGACTGTCACGGCATGAAGCACAGGCTTCATGTGTCTCAGGCACAGCTGTCCAGGGACGGCGCAAGCCCTTTGCCCAGCAGATCCAAAGGACAAAAGGGACCATAGTCTGAACACGGAATTTTCCATTCCCAGGAAGTTTTCATGAGGCTCCAACGATATTTGTTCAAGAGTTGCTGTTTGGTGAAGAGTTTTAGATATTAGTAGGATGGCAGGAAGTATGAGTTTGGAGTTTGTCTTGAAATCTCATCGTTTCACTTGTTCATCCACCTCTACAGGCCAGGCCCTGGGGACTGCCCCCTCTACCTCCTGCACAGACCTTGGCCCTATTGTGGACCTCTAGCCTTCTTGGCAACCTCTGTTTGCTTGGAAGATCCCTGCAGTGAGATTATCAGAGGACATGACATCCCCACGTAATGAGGGTTTCAACAACAGCCAGGCCTTTGAACCTGGTCCCTAGTTAAAATGTAACAGACTGGATGCTGGGTAATGGGAGACAAATATTAGCTTTGGTGGCCGAGAAGCAGCGTTGGGAAACCCACACTGCTGGTGGCAGGAAAAGAGCAATGGTCACAGCAAGTGGGTCCAAGACCTCCACGACCTTGAGGCAGACACCCAGTTCTGCAAGTAGAAGCCACCCACCCTTCCGCTGGCTACTAGCACTCCCTTGGTCTGGTCAGGGCAAAACCTTCCAAAAGGGCAGCAGCCACTTCGTATCTGCCCACCTCGCTCCCACCCCCAGCCATTCACTCGCTTAGCTTGATCACATCAAGGCTCTGATAGGCTCACTCAGGCCTGCCTGGAATTGGTCCTGTGTCGCATTGTACTCCTGCCTGGCACTGGATCATTGAGATGCTCAGACAAGAAGAGAACAGCTATCCAGAGGTCCAAGCAACCGCGTAGTTCCCAGTTCTCTTCCTCCTTGTGCAGTGTTCAACGCCAGCAACCAGTATTTCCTCTTCCACTCTTTAGGTTCTACGACCATCTGTTCATTCCTTCAGTCTCAAATATTCCTAAGGTTTTTTTTTTAAGGTGTGTGTCCCACCACATATAAACACACACACACACACACACACACACACACACACACACACATCTCACTTTCCTCTTGGTTTTCCTCTCTATCCTCATCCTTGTTCTCATCTTTCTCTTGTAGCCTGTCTTTACCTCTGTGTTGTTACTCACCAAATCTACCTTTAGCCCCAACCACCCTCTAGATCCTCACCTCCAAACCCTCAGTGGACGCTACTGCAGGATATTTCCCTGGTCTTTCAGACAAACTCGGTTCAGCCCACTCTTCTGCCTGTTCACACTTCTGGAAGAAGTCACACATCCCAGCTTCCACACTGCAGCTCCATCAGCGGCCTTCACACAGCTTTGTTCCCAAGTGGAAAGGGACAAGGTGGGGTTTCCTAGTCATGTATTCCCTCATTCACTCAACAAACACATATGGCATGTCTGCCACAGGCATTCCACAAGAGAAACAAAACACAGATCTTTTTACCCACCATGATATATGCATCATAGATCTCTATGTTCTAGTGTGTGTATGCATATTATAAGATATATATATAATATGCATTATATATGCCATGATACATACTATATAATATATGCTATATAATAATGGGTTATATATCGTATATAACAATGCATGTCATATAGTACATTATATAAAATATATTCTAGTATATAATAGTGTGTTTATGCATATATTTTAATATATTTTCTAGTGTGTATTGTAGTAGAGATTACTCTTTTTTTCTTTTTCTTTTTTTGTCAGCCATCGGGCTTGAACTGTGGGCCTGGGCGCTGTCTCTGAGCTCTTCAGCTCAAGGATAGTACTCTCCCACTTGAGCCACAGCTCCACTTCCAGTGTTCTGGTGATTAATTGGAGAGATGAGTCTCACGGACTTTCCTGTCCTAGCTGGCTTCAAACCATGATCGTCAGATCTCAGCCTCCTGTGTAGCTAGGATTACAGGTGTGAGCTAGCGGTACTGGGAAAGATTATTCTTAAGTACAATGTATGTCATTGCTGCCACCAAGGGGAAAAATTAAGTAGAGAATGGCTTTGGGTAGTATAAGACAAGTAATGTCTTCTTGAGGATGCTGGAAAGAGCATTTGGAACATTAGGACATGCCAAGGCCATGGGGCAGGAATGGTTAAAAAGAAAAAGAAGATGATGCCCCTTTGCAGAAAGACTGACATGGTCATAACAGACCTCCACAGAAAGGGGTCAAGAAGAACGTGGGATGAGACGTTCAGATAACATGGGCACGTGATGGCATTTAAAGCCAGGAAAGGGCAGGGAGAGATCTGGGACTGGAAGGGGCAGTGGAGCTAGGAGAGAAGAGTGGCTGGAGAGGAAGAAGGAAAACCAGGAGAGACTGAGGTTCAGGGGCTGTAGGTGGTGGGACATTCAAGGGTGACGGAGGGAAGACCAGGTCCAGCCCTGCTGGCAGGTCAGCCGAGGAGGACCAGCAGTGGCGGCACACGATGTGGATGGCCCTGGGGACCTCCGCAGCCCAAGGATGGTGGGTGGAAGAGTGGATACAAACACCAATCAGAAGGGTTGAGAGAGAAGGGAGAAGGCACTGGAGACAGCAAGAGCATCGTATTGCCACCTTCCCCACCTCTGATTCACCCACCCGGGTGGGACAGTAATCTCCTAACTCTACTTTGTGTCAAGTGCAGCCCAACTTCATCCCCCACCCTGATGATCACCCTTAGGCTCCCCAGGATGGGCCCAGCTCCCTCACTCAGCACCCAGACTCGCCCTCTGCTCCATGCTCCCGCAGTCACACAGACCAAAGGAAGGATGGACGGATGGATGCGCAGCCCTGCAGGCCTGCCTGCACTCACTCCACAGCCTCCACAAGGCACACCCTCACTCACGGCCCAGCCCAGCCCAAGACCATCTCAATGCCACTCATCTGTGAGACCCACCCAACCGCCCCCACTTGACCTGCAGCCCTTTGTCCCTTTCTGCCTCCGGCAGCAGCAGCAGCAGCCCATAGGCCAGGCTGTCTGGCAGAGCATTCTCTCCTGTGTGGCTTACTGGTAGAGTGCTTGCCTTGAATGCATGAAGCCCTGGGTTTGAGTCCTCAGTAGCACATACACAGAAAAAGCCAGAAGTGGTGCTGTGGTTCAAGTGGTAAAGTGCTAGCCTTGAACAAAAGAAAAGCTTGGAGACAATGCCTAGGCCCTGAGTTCAAGCCCCAGGACTGGCAAAAAAAAAATATGGCTTTGCCCCAGGAACTAATGGCTCACACCTGTAATCCTTGCTACTTAGGAGGCTGAGATCTGAGGATCACAGTTTGAAGCGAGCCCAGGCAGGAAAGTCCCTGAGAGTTTTATCTCCAATTAACCACCAGAAAACTAGAAATGGTGCTGTGGCTCAACCTGGTAGAGTGCTAGCCTTGAGCAAAAAAGAACTCAGGCACAGTGTTCAGGCCCTGAGTTCAAGCCCCATAACCAAATACATACATACATACATACATACATAAATACTACATTAAAAAGGCTTTACTTCAAAGATGACCAAAGATCGAAGATCATATAGATGAGGTCTTTAACTCATCCCTCAAATCTTGGAAAATTCTTTTAGTAAAGACATTCTACTGTCCCCCAAATACTTCCCCTTTGGCAAAATCCTGCTTCATTGGGAAGGAAAATATCTGCTTTGGTTCTGCTCACCCAATTCAGGACAGTCTACTCAAATATCAGGCCTAGTTCCAAGGAGGAGGAACCACAGAGCTCCGTGAAATTAATTTTATAAATCCTACCACACATGTCATGGAGGGTTAGGACATGTGACAGAAAGGTGGTTTCCACTGGAAGAAAGTTCTTCATTCAAGAAATGATCACCAAAGCTGGGCGCTGGTGGCTCACGCCTGTAATCCTAGCTACTCAGGAGGCTCAGATCTGAGGATCACGGTTCAAAGCCAGCCCGGGCAGGAGAGACCGTGAGACTCCTATCTCCAATAAACCACCAGAAAAACCGGAAGTGGCACTGTAGCTCAAGTGGTAGAGCGCTCGCCTTGAGCTGAAGAGCTAAGGGCCAGCGCCCAGGCCCAGAGTTCAAGCCCCACCACCGACCAAAAAAAAAAAAAAACAATGATCACCAAGGCTTGGCACTGGTAGCTCTCACCTATAATCCTCACTGCTCAGTAAGCTGATAGTGATGAAATCTACAGGACCATGGTTCAAT